TGTGTGATTTCACTTATTTACGGTGTTGAACTGTACCCTCTTTTTCATACTTAGCTTTGCACAGCGAGTTTTCCTTTTATATGTCAAATGTTTGATCCACCTGTTAGTATGTGAAAACTTGGAGAAAAATGGGCATTTAATTCGGGTTACCATACATCCTCTTTACCCAGACATGTCCTCTTTTTGGGGGGAAGTTTATCAGATCCTTCAAATGTCCGGGGTTTTGTATGGAAGTTTTGAGTTGGTGTCGTGTCGACTTACTGAGTTATAGGCGCATAAAAAACACTTGATCCGACCCGGAAAACTCTCATAAATAACTACGCATGACTTTGAGACTCTGCCCCCGTGTAGTCGTGGTCTCTTTTTGGGGATTCAGAATATGGTCACCTTTTTTTAATTAAACCCTATTAAAAACATGGCAGAGTCTTTTAGAGATTCAGGTATTTGGATGCTGTCTTCTGAAGAACCTTAAAAATTAAATAATATTCATTAAATATCGTTGAAGATGCAGCATAAAGTTCAACATCAGAATTTGGTCTCAAGCAAGGTGCCAGGCTTGCACAACACTTGCAAAAATTCCGGGCAGATAGAAAAATCCAATTATTGGGACTGAAAGAGAGTGCAATGCTCTGCAAATTATACAGAGTTTGAATTCTTGTTATGTTTCTGTTTGCCGTTGGTCTTAGTACAGTTGTTCAAACACCACCTCCAATGTTGATTTCCACCTCCTTTGCTGCCAAAAACAATAAACCGGGCTTGTGTACTTCTCTGTGTTGTTTTGTTAAAAAATGGTGTTGCCCTACGTGTACATCTTGTATCTTGGTGGTTGAATATAAAACTTTAGCTAACATTTTCCATGGCGTTAAGTTGTGTCTGGTCATTTTTTTATCATTATTCTAGACAAGTCTGAGTTGCACATTTGAAAATCTGTCTCACATGAGTTCAAGGTGCTTAACTTAAGTTCTCATTCCACTGAACAACCTATGAGAGAAATATCTGAATGTAGCATCAGCTTTCAGCTTCTTGTTCATTTGTTAATGCACTGACCAGTTACTACAGGGCCAGTAAGCTGCCAATTTATCAAGCAACAATGACACACAGGAAGAATAATAATAATTAGCAGTATTTTTCCTACATTCTTAATATTTCATAATTACAGTAGTGTCAGAAATGTACTCAGTCATAAACAGTTACTGGGACTGGTATCATAAAAAGGGGAAAAGTCTGAATATCAGTATCTGGCCTAAACCTAAGATTTGGCACAAGCTGCAGAATAATACAAAAAATCCATGTACAGTAATTTGCATATTTGACAGAAAACTTACATGAATTTTATGTTTTAATGACAATTTTATCAGAATGTGTAAACAAGGTTGTCAAACAATATATTACGAATAACAGCTTATGGCGAAATTAGAAGTATTTCAGGTATAAAGAAAAACATGTTTTTGTTTTTGTTTCTACAGAAGCAATTTTGAGGTGCTAACCATAAATACTTCTGTCGTAACTGTCACAGCAGGTATTTACTGTAATATTAGCCACTGTTGAACTTGTTCACACACGGCGATATCTGACAAGAGCTAAAATGAACGTGATGTTTGACTTCATGTTAAATAAACAGGACTCTTTTTAACATGTCTGGTGTGTTTCAGATTTTAGTCTTGCCGCCTGTGATGACAGACTGTGGCTTCTTGAGAGCAGCTTGTTCAGAGGCAGAGAGATGGCTGTTGTCACTGTAATGACTTCAGCAGCTGACTCATCATTGCTCACTGCTCACGGTTTTTGTTGATACTTCAGCGTCTTTGTCGTCCTTTAGGTCATTTACACTGAGCTAGTTTTTCCCTTCACTCGTTCTCCTCCTTTCTTCTCGCTGAGCCTTTTAACATTTTATTTTTATTTAAACTTCAACAGAGCAGATGAAAACAGCCGTGTTTTGATGGAAAAAGAGGGCTTGCCTGCTGTGCCTGTATTTGATTCAAGGAATTGTTGTTGTGGGTAAAAACCAGAGATGTATTCTAACCTGCTCACTTTTACCTCCAATAAACTTTGCTGGATTCTTGGCAACGGTTCCCGGTTCATCTGAGGACAATGCAGATCTGGGAAAACAGCCCCTTTTTTTTCGGCTGCTTACTTATTGAGGTGGCAGAGCTCCAGAAACCACAACTGATGGAATATCAAAAAGACCAACCCCCCAAAACAGATTTATGATAAGTTTCAATGCTGGCTCCTTCTCTTTCAAGTCACTGATATCTCTCTTCTGGTCCTGAATAGAGGATAAAAATCTACCTCTTTTCTATCCTCCTCTTCACCTTTCACGACCCCTCCAAAATCAAAGAGCACTGGTGTTCACTCTCAACTTGAATGAACTGCTGCTGCTGTCTGCCCCGCAGGCTCTTTGTAGCTCAGCAACTGCATGGTGACCCAATGAGGTGTGGACTAACGTGGTCTAATAATCTGTTTCATCTCTCTGGTCATATCACTCACCTGTCAATTTCAAGAAGCATCTTAATTCTGACATTTCTTTTACTGACGGACCATCAAGCATGAACTCAACAACCCCAATTTAGAGACATTTAACTTATAAAAAAAACACTATTTTACTTAACTGCTCAACAGGGTTTTTAAAAAGAGGGAACATCTTAAACCTCTTCCTAAAATCCATAACTTCTATGAAAAGACTGCAGAGATTTTGAAATCATCGTCTGTGTGACTGTAAAACTGTCACTATTGTGACATTACACGACATGGTGACTTTGACTGCATTATGAAATCCCTGTAGTTAAACTTCAGGGTCACTGGCTGAGTGACAAATGTCAAAGTCACTGACCTTTAAATGACCAGGTATCAGATAAACTATCAGGCCGATAGAAAATAAACAAAGAAAGGAAGAGAAAAAAAAGGGAGGGGGGATGGTCAATATCAAAAAACAAATCTGACGTGTTTCCGGGGAAAGAGATCTGTTTTCATTTAACACCAATGACAGTTCATTAGATTTCTTAACTCTCCAAAGCAGAATACAATGAGAAGTAATTGTAAGGTTAAATGAAACGGCATATAAAGCAGCATTAACAAAAAATAAGGATAAAAAAAGCAGCAAATTTTAACATAAATCAAACAACAGATGCAAATGAGGCCAAACTGTGATTTGAAGTAATTTACCATCATGTACAAATTAACTATACAGGCATTAAGAGAAAACGAGAAGGGAGAAAAATAGGTAAGAATTTGAGTTCCTGATAATTTTAAAGATTAGTAAAGAGTCTTCAACGACCACAAACACTGGCCACAAGTGCTACATGACTAGGAAAAATGACAATGACTCATTTCTGTACTGCGAAAAAATATGAAACGTTCCTGGATAATTACTCGAAAAATGTAAACTTAAGCTCTGGGTTACCTTAAAGCTCCTGTGAGGTTTTTTATTTTTGTTAGCGAAATAGACTCAAATTCACACCAATTACATTTTATGTCACACAAAAGTAAGCAAGCACATCAGAGGAGAGACTGATGGTGATTATATCCAAACGTTTAATGCCTTAAACTGGTGCAAAGGGGTAGGTGTCAGCCAAACAGCTGAAGAAACAGTCCTGTTTTCACAATTTTCCTTTTAAATTTTCACAATAAATGACACGTTTGACTGTAAAAGTCAGCAGAATGGGATTATTTTGTAAGAAGACACCATCAAAACTTCTAGTGGATTTATAAGCGAAGACAGGGGGCGCGAAGATTGATTCAAATCAAAAGTTCCTCACAGGAGCTTTAAAGATTCGATTAATTTTTTAATATAAATCAGGTCCAATAATTGGAAGGAATAGGTTTTTGTTTGTTTGTTTGTTTTTACTTTGTGAATAAAAAGGGAAAAAAGTTGCTTCCTTGTCCTACATTTATGTCATCCTAAACTTGTAAATTTCACAAGATACCAACCAGCACATACGTCACAGAAACTAGCAACTGAAAAAATTCTCCACCCCCTAGCCCTCAGTTTTTTAACTTGAAAATAAATTCCTGGAGTCAAACGGCACTGTACCAGTTTTCACAATCATACCCCACCACCAACAGCCTGCAGGGCACATACTTGTGGAGTTGTGTCCTGGCCTTATAATAAGTGTCACACAAGATAAGTATGCTGTAATCAAAACTACTGACAAGTATTTGCCTTGATGTACTGGTGTCTCAAAAATAGAAATGAACACAAAACAAAATACACACACAGCAAGGTTTCAGGCTGAGTAATCAATAATCTGATCATTAAAATATGTAAAATATCCATAATTAAAATAGGAAACAGAGAATCAGACTCTAGTAGTTGTTTACTGATATATTGTATAGTAAGAGAGTTAAAGATACTGACTGGTGGTGATAATGTCCATTGTAAACTAAAGGCCTGTAGGTGGAGCAGGTCGAGCAGTGACTGCAGGACTGAAACTATATTTGCTTCATCTTAAGTCAGATATTTTTGATCTTCCTATTTGTGATGACTGTCAACAAAGGCTCCAGCTTTTTATAATCTGTATTTTTTAAATGAAAACGCTGTACCTTTCAGCTCAATTTCATATAAAATGTGTGAAGACACGTTTTCAAGGACACTGCTGAAGCCAGTAAACAAAGACTTATTAGGATGTCTTGTTTTATTTCTTTCTCTGGAAGAAAAAAAAAAGGATTTGAAGTGGTTTTTAAATCAACCTTGCTTTGATTTAAACTTGACAAAACCTCATGTTTATAGAGGGAAAATCTTTTATTTATCGAGTTCTTTTTCACTTCCAAAACAATAAAAAAATAAAAAAAAACTCCTCAGAGATATTTTCTCTTTCGAGGATTCCTGGCAAGTTTTCACACATCTTAACGTTTCCAGTTGTCTCTGCCCTCGTTTGCACTCCCTGAGTAATGATGATGGTGAGCATGTCTGCGGATGTCCTCATGTGGCTTCTTTCACTGCTGCCTCTTTGAGCTTATTAGTGAGGGCCCGTCTGTACACTCATTGATGCCAGTCTTCAGGACAGATGGTTGCAAGACGGGGTGAGTGAGAAAACCTCTGACAAACACACACACACACACACACACACACACAGTCCTTCTCTGTCTTTTATGCTCTGTCTCTCAACCTCCAGCTAAGAACAAATGTCTTTACTGATCTTTCGGGACATTTCTTTCACATTGTGGCTGATGACTGACAGTTGCTCTTCTTTATTAACTCTCAGCAGATGTTATACTGCCTCTGTTCTATATTAACTTGAAGGTTTTGTGCTGCAGTTTACAGAGAGTGTGCATATAATTCTGGTCTCAGGACACTGCGGCAGTACTGAAATCAACCTCTGTTTGTTTTTCTTTGATTTGCAAGTAAAGCATACTCCCAGCAAGCGCAGCGTGGATTTGTTTCATTTTGAGGTGTACGTGTCTTAAGAGACGAAGACGTCAGGTTTATGTGAGGTGTAGGTGTGTTTACCAAAAACCAAATCCCCAGGAGGAGCATCAAAGCGCTGCTGTCCTCATAAGGTCATTGTGCACTCAACAGTGTTTAATAGGATGTGTTTTCTGCCCTGGGTTGTCTCTGCAGGACACCACTAAAGCAGTGGGACAAACATCAACTGGCAGCATTTGTGATGCTGGACAGGAAGGTGAAGCGAAGCACTGATGGCAAGCAAGGGCAGAGAAGTTTAACAGACAACATTAACTAAGACGCCTTGTCAGAAATAAGGATTATTGCTAATGAGTCTTACACGTACAAAGAATTTTAACTTAATGCATAAAAGTTGCAGAAAATACAAGGAATCTGACTTAAGTTAATTGTTTTTTAAAAAAGTAAAAGCCTGTATATCAAAAATTTCCAAGAGGGGAAAAACTGTTTGATTCATTTTGAGGCTAGATCAAACTCACACTCTCTCTCTCGAGGGGTTTGTGCCATTTTCTGTTCACAACAGCAAAAGATATGAAGAAATCTTTCCTGCTTGTCCGAGTGCACAGACCCTGGCATAACGGTAGATTATCTTGTTGTCAGAACAAGTGATATGTGACATTTTGCACTTGTTTTTGCACACGGCTGTGGCATACCAGATGGGGATGTCCAGGTCAACAGTTTAGAAGAGCATCTTTATTGACTGTAGCAGACTGAACCCCTTCACCCGCCGCAGAGAGAACATCCTCTGCTGTGCCCACTTGTCAAGGGCGTTTATGTTGAGCTCACACTGCAGGTTTTGGGTGATAGCCATGCTCAAAAGTAGGGGTGGGAGAAAAAAATCGACAAAGCATAGTATCGCGATATTTTGTCTGGTGACATATCATTTACTAAGTATCGATTTTTCAAATTAATTGCTAATTTGAAGTAAAATCTATGATAATGGAAGAACAAAATCAACTGTTTGTCCAGTGAGGTTTTCAGAGGTCACATTATAGAGCAAAAGAAAGTTAGTACAACAAAAATATATTAAAGATCTGTAAGATGTGCTACATGAAAATAAAATACTGCGTAAATAAGACAAACATAAAGGAAAGACAAATGCTGATTTAGTTCAACAGTTGAAAAAATTGTATAAATCGCAATATATTGTATCGCAATACTCGCTGTATTGCAAAATGTTAAAAATCGCCTATCCAAAAGTGGAGGGGCCTTGATAGGCGAAAAAAGCTGTGCGTTATTGTTTCCATTTCAAACAGTTCAGCGTTTCCCAGCTTTGCAGCACTGTTTCAGCAGCAAAGAATTTTTTTTTCCGCCTTAGCCCTTTGTGAGATTCAAAGACAGATAAATATCAGTCTGATCCCATTCTCTACACTGCATGCCCCAAGCAGGATAAATCAAGTGCAAGAACTTCAAGAATGGACACAATGATTCATGCCCCTTTCCTCCAGAGGCAGAACCAGTTGATGCCAATTAATACCAGCCAAAAGGCAAAGCCAATCCTTGAACTACCTTTAGTTTTGTTTGAGCAGACTATCAGTTGTCCGTCTGAATATTCAAGCCGACAACTTTCCAGCCGTTTCAGCAAACAACCCCATGACTTATAGACAACATTCAGGGAGGCGCTGACTTAAATAAGAAACTGTTTCTGTTGTTCATCTACCAGTTTTACTTACTTACTGACTTGGTTAAAACTTTGTGAATACCAAAACGTATATCCAGCTCTGTAGCGAGAAACAACTTGCAGTATCCTCTTATGTATCATGTCTGCAGAAAAAGGTCAGATAACTTATTTTTCATAAGGATAAGGATACTTGTCATGTCCCTGTCATTCAGATTATACCAATCATTCACCTTATGATAGCAGTGCTGTTGTCCTCTCTTTAAAGAAACCTAAAAACAGCCATGAAATTGATGGGAAAAGTAAACCTAGCAATTGTTTTGGCAGCAGATGTTACCTCCCCTAAATTGGGGAGTCACAGCAGGTGATGGGGGCATATGGGGCTTGGCTCTTCCTTAAATTGGGATCTTTCTTCACTGTCTTGGGATGGTTGAGCTCAAAGTTGTTTTGTCTGCACCCAGTCACCAGATGGTGAATCCCTTGCCAGTAGCTAGACCTCATCCTCATGAAAGATGAACCCAGTGAGGGTAATGTTGTCTTCAGACTTCAGGGGCTTGACACACTGATGGTCGTGGGTGCAGATGTTTGTTTATTTTAGAAAAAAAAAAAGGCAAAGAGGGAAAAATGCCGGATCAAGGGGTTTTACTGTTAACTGTCCAAGACTCTAAGACTTTTCGCTAAAGCTTTACATGCCTCTTCTTGTCAGACTGGAGATCTGTGATCCACCTGTAGGTGGAGTCAAGCACATTGAACTGACAGAGCTGCTTGCAGCAGAGCCAGGATGGTGGTGTTGCATATACAGCTTAAGCCCACAAACAGGATCCTGGCTTAGGTTCCTAAAAAGCCCAGGTGCTGGAGGATGAGTTGGAGTGTTGTGTTGATTGCATTGCTTCAGGTCAACACCATGACTCAGTGATTGCTTTGATTTACAGGGCAAGGTGCTTAAATGACATGATCACCTCAGAGGTCAGGGCAACAAGCCTGCAGTCATTAGGCCCTGGAGTCCATGTTTTGAGGTCGCTCTCCACAAAAGAAAGATTTTGTCTGTTCCCGGGATTCAAAGTTTTTAAATCAGTAGAGAATTTGCAATTTGGTTTCCATCTCATACAGTGACCATTTTAAGGACAAAAGAATAAATTTAGGGACAAAAGTATGGCAAGACATTCAACTTCTTGTGCCTGCAGAGATGAAGGGTAAGACTTTTTGCAAGTGAAATTACTCAAAGATATTTCATGAAAAATTATGTGAAAAACAAAATAATAATTTGAGAAGCTGCATTCAGAGAATAGACGAAAAAATCAATAATTTTTCAGCAACTTCTAATCTACTGAGATTCAATTTGGTTATCTGTCTTGCTGGTTAACACAACTAGGTCTATACCCTGAAGGCCGCTTTGTCATTGGCTTTATATGGTGAAACAGGGAAACTCCAGTTATTGGATGCTTAAATGCTCTCTGCACTGAGGATGCCTGTCAAGTTGGCTGAAGTTGAGAGGTACAACATCCTCAGGACTCTTCTGCAAAGTGACTGATACAATCAGGGCAAAAACCAAAAGCTTTTAAACCACCATTCAAGTTAACAGCTGGTTTTACTCAACAGAGTCCAGTCGTTATAACCAGTTTAACCAAAACACAACCTACATACAACTTTATCTTCACTCTCTAGATCAAAATATTGCCCCACGCTATGACATACCTTCTGACATCTGTGCTTGAGCAGTTCGACATGAAGGCAGTGTACATTGGCTGGAGTGACAGCCCCAGCTAGTGGGGGTTGGCCATAATAACAAGTGTCTTAGCGCTACAATAATAATAAAGAAAATGTTCAACCAACTCGAGCAAGGGTGACATTATTTAATGGTTCAGTTGACTGAACATGTGTACTAGTTGATCTCAGCCACAAACAGCAAATTTTATTTACAGGATATCCCAATGAATTAAAAGACACGAAATCATCTGATGCAAAGCTTTTCAATAGATACACAGATGATACAGGTATCATTAATAGTTCATTATGATAGACACACCAAAGTATGGATGTTCCACAGTAACTGATTTCCTAATTGTTTATAAATTCAAACAAATGACGAGCCTAAAGACAAGAAAAAACCCAGAAAAAAGTCAAAATAAAGCATGATCTGTTTACCCCAACTCAAACTGGGTCACAGACTCTGCAGGTGAACATTGTTGAGTTGGTTTGGCAAGTGTGGTGATGTTTATATCGCCAGTAACACCAGTGTTTGGTCCGTTTTACAGCCTCACTTCTCCAGTACACTTCATAGTTGGTTTTGTATTATTGTGTTGTATTTTGTATTGCAAAAAACCTCGTGATTACTTTGCACTAAAATAAATACGACTGCAAAGCATGAGGGCTTGGCGCGTGTTTGAGATGTGTTACTTAAGGTCAGCTATTTATGTCTGATTGCAGGTTAGATCCAGCTTTATTCAAGCTCCATGTGGAATGAGAGGTTTCAGGATTTCTCTTCACCACGAGGGCAACATTTCATATAACAGACTTTTATCATGCATTTCTTTAAGTACAGCATCTGTAGGTTAAATGTCTTTTTTTCTGTCTCTCCCATTCATCCATCCCGTTTTCCCCCCTCTCATCATTCTGCAACTACGCACCCACTCAATACCCCATAACCCTCCTCTCCTCTTCATTATTTCCTTGGCTTTGTAAGACCCCCTGGTGAATCCTGGCATCACACTCCCATTTCAAAGGAATGAAAATGCAGCGCTGGTCTGTGCCATCAGTTTGCTCTGTTCCCCCTTTCATCTGCCTGGACATATTAAGACGAGAAATCTGAAGCTCTGCAGCGGCTCCCACATGAATCAGTCTGAGCCCCCCAGTGGGAACGTGTGCTGGTCATTTCAGGTCCCGTTTCAGACGAGGACAGAGAGAGGACGGAGATTAAGTTAGAGCAAGTCCGAGTGGCAAGAGGTAGTGACAGAGAGACAACTTAAAGAGAGACTGAAGGGGAAAGAGGTCATGTGGCTTATTTTTCGGGGACACAACAGTTTGTTACTTTGGAGTCCTTGTTTTCAAAGGACACCGAGTGCCTTAATTAAGCAGCTTTGATCTTCTACCAACAAGTATAAAGGAGGGAGAGGGTGAATCCAGGCATAACACACAGCAGCTGCAGAAACACTAAAATGTCTCTGAAATCATATAAAAACTTTAAACTCTAAACTGGAGCTATCCACTGAACACTGGTATCAGATGATATTTTCCATTTACAGACATCAATCATTGACTAATTGTGTGCTATGCATCAATTTAAAGGTGGCATGGTTCTACTGAGCTGCTGACTAAGACCAAAGTTTGTTTTTTCCATAAGTACAAGAAGTCACCTGTTAGACAAAGGCGATAGTGAAAGAAATTGTCTGCAGTGAGAGTTTTACACGATATGAAAAAGTTGAGTGACATGCAGTTTATAAAAAGTTTTAGCGCCATTGTAAGAGAAACTTAAATGAAGGACTGCAGTAATGGTAATGTTGTTTTTATTGGCCGCACGGTATGATATTATCACGATACTTGAGCCACTTTATGATATTATTGCGATTTTTAACATTTTGCAATACAGTGAGTATTTCGATACAATATATTGCGATTATTACAATTTTTTCAACTGTTTAGCTAATTTAGCATTTGTCTTTCCTTTATGTTTGTCTTATTTACGCTGTGTTTTATTTTCATGTAACACATTTTGCATACCTTTACATATATTTGTGGCACTAACTTTCTCCTGCTCCATGATGCCACCTCTGCCAACCTCACTGGACAGACAATTGATTATTATAGATTGGACTTCACATTAGCAACTAATTTGAAAAATCAATACTTGGTAAATAAGATGATACGATATATCACAAGACAAAACATTGCGATACTATTTTTTCTCCCACCCCTATCTAATATGGTTGTTATGGTGCTATTTCTATGAAACATGGTTGTGTATTTTGATGCATAACTAGTCAGTCACTGTCTGGAGACACATTTTACATCTAATATCTTCTGCCAATTAGACATCAATAAATATTTAGCTAAGCAAATACACGTGCGCTTTTTAAATACAACACAAACCTAATGTAAAACTACGATTGCTCCCTTCATGGTGAAGATCAGGAACAAACACAGCAGAAATTCTTCCAAATACAAAAATGAGAACATCATGGTTTAAGACCCTAAGGAACAATCTAGCACATTTTTGTAAATGCTAATAAGAGAAAAGGGTGAGGTGTTTTGGATCAGACCTCCAGCAATAAAAAAGAGGTTAAGAGGACCCAGGTTTAGCCAAGGCTTTGAAAGCTGAGATAACTGGGAAAGAAATGAGCAGAGAGTCTACAAAAAGATACTTGTCTGGGCAAGAGGAAAGGAAGCCAACAGCGCTCACAAGAACCAGAGAAAATTAGCTGGGGGCCCTAAAGAAGAAAAGTATCACTCAACACATTTAATTAGGGCAATGCTTACTGGGGTGTGAAATTAAGTTTTTTCCTCACCTGCCACTGTGGCTAGTGACTAAACATTTCAACAGACCACTCAGATGTTGTCAGCCACTTCAGAAACCAGTCATTGTTGTTTTAATAACTATGCTGCATGTTTTTGTCTTACAGTCCTTTTTTGAGGTTATTTTAAATCTGCACGTCTTCTAAGCTCTTCTATGGTAAAGTACGTGGGAGTATATTTGGATATAACTTAAAAAATGGTTCAAACAAATGATGCACAGGACAGTAAACTCTCGAACATAATAGAGATAGACAAACTAAGTGTAAGCAGATGGTTTAAATATTCAGAAGAACGGAAAAAAAGTCAATTACGCCATCTTTTTACTGCAGCCTGTTAGGACACCCAACCGGAGCATGCCAGTTGTTTATCCAAACAATCCGACTCCTAATAACTTAATCTAATGTAGAAAACAGAAATAATTATTCACATTTTCTTTAACCAGTTTATTCAAACAAGGTTAAAATTTTCTCTTTGTATTGATGGAAAACTAGGCAACAAAAGAGACACTCAAGGTCGTCTTAACTCTCTGTATACCTAACTGGTTGTCCAGTCTGAGAGCAAAACATCCCTGCTGATGACAAAGTAAGAAGGGCTCAGACTGAATCTTTCAGACCACTGTGTTCCCCACAAACTGGCTGCACTATTGCCTCATTTCATGACTTTCATTTTTTAAAGAGAGATATTAATTTAAAGAAAAAAAACAGAGTTGCAGAAAACAGGGTTCACTGATGACGGTCCATATTCGGAGGCTGAGCACTGTATTTTACAGCAGCTAAAGTCAGATTTACACCTGGAGTTTTGGGCTGATTCCAATAATCTAAAAACTTATCTGGATTGAGAGAGGCGTAGCTTATTGAGAATGAAGAATAATTACCTGGATGTGTTTGCTCAGGGTTTCTCCACCCTTAGCCTTATTTTAAAGATTAAAAAAAAACTATCTCACTCACATGGTCTTTTACAAAATTTTCTTTTTCTGGTGTTTAATATGTAACTTCGACCCAATATTCAGCCAAAAATTATAGATGTGCTTTATGTTTGTTTCAAAGTTTTTAAAACTGCAGATTGTTTCTCATGCTAAACTTGCAAAACATCCATGAACCAGATTTTATCGTCTCGTAACTAAATACTGAATGACTTTTATGTGGCACAGAGAAATTTAATAAGTCTAAGAAATGTCAGTAATTTGGGCTGTACTGAAACAAGAAAGTCAGGTGTAATCAAAACTCGATGAGCGGGAAGTACAAACAAGAAATAACTCATTTCAAACTGAGATGGACTACACTTTGAGCTAGCTCACTTTTAATTGGAACTTGCATGACAGTGCATAACAGCTTACTTGCAGGACATCTTTCTGTTTCAGTTTTTGAGACAACTAAACCATTTTCCTTTTTTTTATATACGTTATACGGAAATGTCCCTGAGTTTGTTTTTCCATAAGACCCACACAGAAAGGTTACTGACTTGCAGGCCTGTATTTTACGGACTTAAAGAGTGTGTAGTATCTTTCAAACCAGACTTCCCTCCACAGCATATCTTAAGAGAGAGAGAGAGAGAAAAAAAAACCTTCTCCATGCACGGATTTTAGTCTGGTAAAAGCTGTTGTTGATGCCCTCTGCCTCCTACACAGCACTGAGAAACTTTTTGTTCAAATCAGCATCCGACAGTCTGGTTACATAAGAAGTCATCCAAGTCTACTTTCAATTTGTTATTCCATATTTAATGTGTTTGTGGGGGAGGTGAGAGGTTTTTTTAAAGAGTAAACACCTACCTACGTACCAGGCAATGTGCTAGAGCAGCCTGATATGGGAAAAAAGAAAGAGCCATAAGGAAAGATGCAAACTCAGAGGTCTAAGCAGCAGACTAGTGAAAACTTTAGGCGCACTTGGAGCATATTTAAGGGCAAATGGACACAGATTTTACAAAATTCGCCGTCATCACGTTGACTTGGTTTGTTTTTCTGGGAAATTAGTGTATTTTGTTCTTTCAGTAAAGTTGTAGTCTAAAGATTATCACAACCAAGAATAAAAGTCTTGGATGAGAGCTGTTTTTGCATTTTTAAATTTTAATTCTGCATCTCCAACAAGCTCTTAGTGAATTTTGTGTTTTAGCTCTGATCTCAACAAGCAGTCATAAAGGTTAAAACTCATAAAACTCTAACCATGGGGTTTACTTGTTTAAAGTCTATTGAACCAGACGCACAGAGTTTGGTCATACCCTGCGCAGTTATCTCTGTAATTATGTTTAATGTTCTTTGACCATCTTTAGCCATGCTTGAAGAGCAGTGAATGCAGCTCGATGTAGCTCGGATGCCTAATGCAATTTCCACACCAGGACAATAAAAGTAATGACAAAATAAGCTGGGTGAGTTAATCTGTAGTGGAGTAGAAAATAGAAAAACTTGGCTCGACCACATTTACACCTGGGTTTTAACTGTTATTTGAATCTAGATCCTTAGAGTGGTCCGACTGTGATCCAGTCTGCCAGACGTCCAGAGGTGGTCTGGCTCGCACTGTGATCAGACCTCAGCCCAGTGTAATTGCCAGGTGTAATTTAACACACTCGGTACAATGTGTTTCTTACATTTGTAACATGGTCGGTACACAGGTCATAAATCTCACTTTAGTTTTATTTTGCTTTTGAAAGAGTCATGGCTGCAAAGACTGTTGTGGCATCAAATGACTCTTCAGAAATTCTGTCGCCTGTTGAGAGAGAAGGAGTGAGGATAGTTCTCAGGTGTGTTGTTTGTGCATCCTGGCCACGTGAGCGATCAGGAAAATCCAATTATGTGCATTTTTCGTGTAATTTGCAGTGTGTGTTCCTTTTGAAAGACCCTGCTTAGCTAGAAGGAAGTCAGTTTTATCTTGAGTGAATATTTAATCAGATGAATTCCAGGAAATGGTGTTTCTACAGGTCAAGATGTTGGAATAAAAGCAAAGTGATATAGCCAAAATTGGAGTGGAGGTGTGTAATCCCATTTTCTTTCCATGTTTGCCCCATTAGAGATTATTTATCTGCAGTGAAGTTTGGATTGGTTTATGCCATGTGGATATTTGTGTAGCGCTCAATAATGGTGATCAATTAAATACAGTATTACTATTTTTGGGAAAGCACTGATCAAAGACCATATTCTCATGCAGCCATCTTTTTGTCAAAAATGTAGCGGATAACTGTCTTGATGGGAAAACAAATTATCTTTTTACTTAGTTTTCAAAAAGTAGTTAATAAAAATATAAACTGGGTAAGAGGATTGAGCCGGGAGAACAACACGTACTAACTTTTCTGAACAGTGGGATATCTTAAGTCTGTCCAGCCAACTCTGTGACGTGCAAAGTTGTTCATAAGGTATTGTAGTTGCCTACCATGTGGATTATATGACCTCTGATCAAACTCAGCTTTATGGACAGATGGTACATAAACACTCCTTTTGCCCTCCAGTGTCGTACATAAAGAACATCTGGTCATCAACCGGTTTGTTCTTCAAGACTTACACGGAGGAGGACTGAAAGTAATCACTGAAGAGAATCAGCAACACTGTGTACTGTGATGTGTGGTTATGGCCTTTTGTACTCAAGGGGGCTGGAAAAAAAAAGATTATTTTGTCTCTTTCTGGTGGCTTATGAAGCTGCAGGGAAAATCAAATTTTGTGGATTGTCAGTATCATCCTCTTTTTGTGGGACTTTTTTATTCAGGAGTTTTGTGAAGACATTATGCAGCTTTGGCCATGCGAATTCAAGTCACTGGGATTTAACACAATGACGCAATGCAGTATTTTGGGTTTTTCCTACTCCTTCCGTTGCACGCGTTGCTACGGAAATAAAGCCCCTTTTTTACATCTATGTCATCAGTGCACTTTTCATTAGGAGTCAGATGGCCGGATAGCTTTGTCTACTGTTTATACAACGCAGGTGTGCGTCAATGTGTGTTGTCTGCGTGCATCTGTACACATCTCTCCATTTTCTGCATCAGTCTGTCTCTCTCCAAAGCTCTCCTTCCCGGGCAGTGAATTTTAAATGACATTCCTCTCACATTTTTAGGCCTGATACGAGTCCAACTTGACACAGTCACATCTCAGATCTTAGTTGTTGACGTGCTGTGAGCAGGCAGGAGGCGATGGAGCAAAGCAGAAAGCGACGGAGAGACAGACTGTGCAGCGGCAGGACTTAGCTGTGTGAATTTGCATCCACCCAAAAAGTTCAGATGAGGACAGATTGATACTCTCTCTGCCTTGAGATTAGCTGCAGTTATTTTGGAAGGCTGCAGACACAAGCAAAGGGGTAAATTTCAACCATACAAACTGAATCCCATCTCTAGTAATAAAAATAATAATTATGTGATGAACATATAATCAAAAATTTAATCCTAGTCTCCTCTTTTTGTTCCTCTCTAAGACATCAAGTCACAGTGTGCAAAGTACCATAGGGGGACCTTTAGGGCGCATAAGGCACCGGGGAACGAGCACATATGGAGGTACCCATTAGAGGAGAACAAAAGGTCTAAAGAAGAAGGAAAAGTTCAGTTCATACAGAGAAGCTCCCCCGTGGTAATTCTGTTGACATATAAATGGCCAAAAGGCTATAGGCCTGGAGGAAGGATGTTCTTAACATAATGAGAAGCATGTAAGTGAGGATAATGAGAAGCAGAATGTATGTGGAGGGCTCCTACGTGACTTGCATGTGTGACAGCCCACATAGGAATTGTTAACAGTTAAAACTTCATCTCCTTCTACAGCTTGTCTTACTGAACTGTTTTAATACCGTCATATTAACAGAGGAAGTTGTCCTTCTGCCTTGCGACCTATGTCCATTGTTTTGTCTTTTGCATTCAGTGTTGTTTTCTTTCAGGCTGCTTTTAACTATGCAGAGAGGCCCTCTTTCTGTAGCCTACAGTAAGGCCCTCTTCAAGGATCTGTTAACCTCAAACAGCTTTCCCTTGCCAAAACAAGAACTTTTGAATGTCAGCCCAATGGCTTGCCCTTGGAATAACCACTAGAAAGCCAAAAAAAAGAATAAGAACCAATAGTTCATTTTCACCCCCAAAAATATTCTGCTCTTCATATGTGAGGAGTATGCATAATTGGCAAATGTAAACCGCAGCAAAGAGTACTGTGTGAATGCACATTGAATCCTTTATACCAGGAGTTACATGCTGTCAAATGAGAGGATGAACAAATAAAGAAGTGTGCAAATTCATTTGCAACAGCCAGCGTGAGCCAAGAATACACTGACCTACTTGATAGAAAAGTTTACAGAGACATTTGGTACAAAAACAGCTGAATGAGCATCTATTTTTTTTACATTTAAAGTTCAAGGGTGAACTTTGAGAATAACTTACAGTAAATTTCAAAGGACTAAATCATGACTAATCCTTTTTACAGTCAGGGGGAAGTTGTCTTCTCAGAAGACAGCGAGGTTTTCTTAAAAAGGGGGCATGCGTTTGTGATTTGGGATTGCATCAGCTATGTCTCGACTTACAATAAAGGAGTGATGAATTTCCAGTTGAGGCTTAGGGGCTAGACATGGTCCTTTTCCTGGAAGAATCATGGATAACACAGTGACTCAGATCAGCTGAAACAACACTGGTCCTGGTGTGATGCACCGGATGTTTTACTGCCAAGTATACTTGAAAATACTTGTTCAGATTTATTTCTTCAGCTGTGGATAATCTGAAATGTGATCTAATTTCCAGGGTTTATAATTATCTGAGAAGTGGTTAAGAAGCTCTGAAAATATAACCTTAACAACCTTTGACACTTTCTAAACACAAATTTAAGTTTACATCACGAATCATTTCTTTGTGTTAACTGATAGCAAAGGTCTGTTCATTTTAGTCCTGGGAGCAGGAAAGAGACCAATGAATGAAGGAGTAGGAGGTTATTAGGGCTGGGATGATATGATTTTCTCCCGATTCAATTCTTCTACAATTTTTTGGATGCCAATTCGATTTAAATTGCGATTCTACGATATCGATTTTCTCGAGTTTAAGTCGGCATTTTTAAACACCAGTGAAAGAGTTGAATGATTGTGATTGTCTACTGACTATTCCAGGAACCATATTTCCACAAAAAATACAAATCACATGTCAGTCAGTTTTTAAGATTTATTCTTGAATTTAAAAAAAAAAAAAGGATTTTTGAACAGAAGGATCGATTTAAAAATTGTAAAACAAAAAATCGCGATACTCATGTGAATCGATTTTTTCTCCCACCCCTGGAGGTTATGCTATACTTTGTTAAAGCCAGTGCTGAAATTTATTTTTCTACCTTACAAAGATTATATTTTGTGCTGCGTGACATACTATCGATCTGCTTGAGAACCCAAGCTGATAATCCTCAATTTAATTAAACTTGTAAAATATTATTTTACATAATTTGTTTATCATGTTAATTCTACTTGCTTAAACAACTTACTCTATTGATTAAGTGAATATTTATTTTAGTCATAGGTTATTTCATTCTTTAGTATTGCTCTGTAAGCTGTATCTTGAAAAGTGGGGCATGAGTAGAAACAGCTGTTGTCATCAATGTTACCCAAACAGTTCATGAGTGATCACAGAACAGCAGGCGACCCTGTCTGAGTCAGCAAATTTACAACAAAGTTTTGTAGCCTGGTAAAGAAAAAAAAAAATCTTCAAGGTGCATCTGGTGCTTGGAAAACATCCAGTGAGCATTTTTTAATTCGAGAAGTTTTACTGGGGACAAGATGTCTGTTACACAATACCCATACAGCACCGACTGGAGCAAAATCAGCTTCAGATCAGTTTTGATGACAAAAATTTATGTAAACACAAAGCTTGGACTTCAATGAAAACTGACTACAAAGACAAGTTTCGCCTCCAGCAGATAAAAATGACATCAGCCCTCAAGTTACTCGGCCTGAACATCTGCTTTTCTGCAGAGCTGGTCAAATATTCATATGAGGCCAAACACATTTGAGAGGAAATTTACAGCTACAAGCAACCAGTCATGTGCTGTTTATCTGTCAAATTTGAAAATTCTGTTTTCATATGGTGATAAAATGGAAAACTGGATTCTGTTGAAGACGCTGGTCTAAAAAGTACCCAAGAAAACGAGGACTTTTATTTAATGTGGGGATTCTTGAACTCAGGAATGAAGGGGAAAATAAGCTGTGCTGCTTAAGATTCATAGGCTGTCATAGCACTTGTTATAAGCAATAAATCTCAGCAATCAGTAGGTGTCGGAAAAAGGACTGAAACATGTTCACCAAATGAAATCTAGTTCATTTTTGAGGCAAACAGAAGACAAAGGAGAAGAAAATTCAAACAAACCAAAAATCTAAACAAAAGCACCTGCAGCACAGGCCCCACTTTGTTCTAGACACAACTGAACGAGGTTAAACCAGGACACTCATGAATGACTTCATGAATGACTTCATGCTGAGACTACATGCAAGTCATAAATGAAAAAAGAGCCAGATTGTCAGTGTGGCAAAAATATTGCACAATTTCCTGATTTCTGCACAGATTTTTAGTTGGTTTCTAAGAAGAAAGGATTCTAGTGATAAGTAAAAAAGTGCAAAATGTGAATCTGGAAGTTTTTTTTTAATAAAATGACACTGTGTGACCCATATCCACCAATTAAATCGGCTCCATTTCCGGCAGTCCACACAGAATCAGGTTGCGGTCTAGTTATCAAATTAAAAAAACCCAAAGCTCCTGGCTTACCGAGTAACGCAGCTGAGAGCTGAGAATTTACCGTAAATGCTCCAGTCCATGTGCTCACTGGGGCCTTGGTTCAAAGCAAGGGCTTAATGTAATTCTCTGCCACAACAGGATTTGTATTAGTCCCAAAAGGGTCAGTGAGGTTAAGAGCCGTTAAGTAGTAGTGTTTAAATCCTTTCTAAGCTCAGCCACCACAATACAGGGCCCCCCACACCCCATTGGACTCGTTTCACCTCAGGGTGTGATTTGGACAACCCCGCGAAGGCAAAGGGGAAGGTTGCAGCGTACGCACGTGCTGGTCAGCATTCTTCCACGATCTCTTGCTATGCTGAATGACATAATGCATAGTATGACCATTGAGTGGGGTAGTTTTAGAGGTTGTGCTTTGGTTTTGACTTAATTGTTAGCCAAGCTTGTTTACTACAAGGGCCAACTTGGGTTACACAGACTCCAGGGACTTAACTGCTGTATCATTGGCTTCTCTGCTCACAGTGGGACAGCGTGTCATTGATAAGTGAAGGACTGCTGAAGGACCCTTTCTGAGGTATCTACCTAAACTCGTTTCCCCTTTAAAAAAAAAAAAGGGCAACATGAATCCTAGTAGAGCTACCCATTTCAAAAACTTTGCACAAATATTGACAAAAAAGCATAATCCTCATTCAACAGTATCTCCTGTTACATAAGTACCAACAAATCACAATATGATTGAAAATCCTTTTGCAAAGTTTTAGGGCCAGCATTGCTGGTTTGAAACGAACTTGGTGCCGCACTGCAAAGCTGTTAGTGCGTCTTAATTAGGAACAGATTTACTCAAGATGCAGATTACATCAGAGATTGGCATCCGTCATGACAGGCATGATCACTGAGGTAACTGGGATGGTGGCCTGGTTTACAGATCTCTACCTTCAGGACGCTTACTGTGCATTACTTGTAATCACAGTGGAACGTGACATAGTGCCCTGTTAATACCGTCCCAATTACAGGAGATGAAATGAAAAAGAGTTGATGAAAAAAATCTCTATTTGTACTTAAAGAAACGAATGATATGTTCAGATCAGCTGGAATTTTTGAATTCAATGAACTCTTTACAAAAACTTTTGCCACAAAGATCTAACTGATGCAATGTGACTTTATGATGACGACAGGTACAACACTTTGAACTATATTAAAATATCTTTAACAACTATGACATGGATTAATGCCAAAATTGGTTCATAAGAGTGAATCATGACGAATGGGGCTCTAATCTGAAGTGATCAACAACCTTCGCTGAGCGTGCTCCAGTACAGTAACACCACATAGTTTATGTGTCTGTCCATCACTTTCAAGTCTAAGCTGCTCCAGTGGATGGAAATCTGTTCAAGGATTGTAGGTCAGCTACTTCAGAGACTCTGAGTCAGCCTACAATAAAAACATGTTGAGGCTGAATAACAACATTATCTCTGACCCTGACTATGTTCACCACAGTGAATAGGAAATATTATCAAATTAGAGATACAGAGTCCCACATTTTAATAATGTCAGACAGACACTCTTTTGTTCACCAGTTAATTCCAGATTTGAATATGGAGCTGAATTACAGATCCAAAGTATGTTGGTGACCTCTAAATATGCTGTTTGGGGATAGACATGTGTTCAGTATCTTGTCCCTTTATGATGCAGAGCAAATTTCTGACAACAAAATCATATCATATTCATCCCCACCATCATACAAACTTCCTGCTTATATCTATGCTTTGCAACCACATTTTAAATAGAGGGAAAATGAAAATTTGTTTTAATAGTTCAAATAAAAACAAAACTGAACTAACAACAAGACCTTGTATGAAACATTCTTCAATAATTCGCCCAGATACACATCTGTAAAAACTGCAGCTCTGATAAAAGATATAGATAAGTGACAAAGCTGATCCTCAGACTCTGACTCTTTAGTCGTGTCTCTGCTAACACTACCCCAAGGCTATCCTTTTTTACCCTATTTGTGGTAAGTATTTAAGCTTTGTCAGTTGTTCTTTTAGTTTGTTAGGAGATTTAAAGCCTTTGGAGCTGCCTCTCAGATTGAGTCTTGTAACATTTCTGAACTACATGGGTTGACATGAAGCAGTTTTGACCTATATTGTCGGCTGAAATTATACCACTGAGGTTTTGGATAAATGTCAAATGTTTGAAAAAGTGTCCATCTTTGGATAGTTCATTTCAAAAAAACTTTGCCGACTTCTGGTCTGAACTGCATCTCCTATGGGGGTGATTGTTTACCCAGTGCAGATTTACCTTGGATGAACCAAAGTATTTGGCTGCGGGTAGACGTGGGCGAGAGAAGGAAAGATAGAGAGACAAGGGGGAGAGAGAGACAGAGAGAGGGCGGGGGGGAGCAGAGAGAGGGATAAAGGGTGGTAAAGCTACAGAAAGAGAGAGACAGAGACTGAGATAGCACACAAGAGAGAGTGACCTGTGTGAGTGATCTGAGAAGGCTGAGCAGCAAGAGGTTGATTTATAATTAGAGTGTATGTCTGCTCAATACCCCTGCTGTTATGGTGATGGCTCCATTGCATAAAGAGGCGGCTCTGCTGCTGCTGCAAACTTAATTTGAATTGATAAATGCATCTTCTAGCATTTACCAAAAGCCACGTATGCCAGCATAGAAGATTTATACAAGATAACCATCTTTGGATGTACTTTTTTGGTTGCTGCAGTCACTTGAAGGCCTGACACATCAGAATTAACTTGTTTTAAAGGATTTTTAATCTGTGTATGACGTAGATTTATAATCACAGATTAAAGCACAACAAACTTGGAACAAGCCGGATCTCCAAATGCACTAGAAATTCAGTGATCTTGTTAAAAAAAAAAAAAGTGAGTTTAATCCTTTATTTATGTAATGTATTTGGACACATTCTGCTGTTGAGAAGTTTTTCTTAGGTCACATATCATCTGGCAATGGAAATGCAACTGTTATCCCTAATGCTGCCTGGTCTTGGGAGTTTAAAAAAGTTACGCAGAGTTTACACGGCAAAAAGCTGATGATTTACCATTTGTTAAGACAAAAGTGGGAAACTAGAGTACATTCCCGTAAACACGTTTCCCCTGAACAATGATGACCAAAATTTGAAGTAGTACACAGGTAGTACACAAATGGAACTTTGTGACCAATGCGGAGCCACTGCGATAGTGCTATCTTTCCATTTAAATTAAGACTATAAGTATGCCATTTGGACAGATAATCCTTTTTTCTGATCCATTTTTTTACCCTTCCAACCCCGCATACAGTAAATGAATATCATGTCTGCACTTAAGTTGCACATTTGTATTACAATTCATGTTTGTACTTGGCAAAATATGATGTTGAGTTTATTAAAACACCTCAGAAAATTGTATATACCAAGTCATTTTTGTCATGTCTGAGACACCACTTGACAGTTTTGAAGCAAAACAAAATATCCTTCAGCAAAGAAAAAAACAACTTCAAAAGAGTGTTTAAGAAATAATGACTTAACTATTGACCAAGATCTGGAGTAAAATCAAAACACCTAATTTAATGTTGGCTTAAAAGAAACAAACAAAACAAAGATGATCACCTCAGGGCTGTTTGCGTTGCCAGCCGATCAGACTGAAAGTTAACATCCATTAGTTTTAATCACAGAGACAAATACATTCTGCTCAAAACCAAAACACAACTGCATAACTACAGCAACATAAAAAAGAGAGATTGCAATTCAATCATCTGCAGTTGGGAAAGAGTAAAGAACATCTCTCTGTGTGTGTCTTAGCATGGCATGCCTCGGTTTGTGGGTCCTTCTCACGCAGCAGAACTTTCAGGTACGCTTACACAAGGGCAGAATGTCTATTAACCAAGTGTGGATGGCATCGCTCTTTCCGGCAGGTGAAACACTTGAAAACAAACCAGATGTAAGAATACTCATGCCAGGGCTTGCTGAGATGTTTGTACAGTGGGATGGCCATGAAGTAACAGTGATTTTGACCAGAAAAATCCAAGCAGATGGACTGATCTCCTGAAACAATCATGACTCGCTCTTTGGCTCTTAGACAGGCACAGAGGCATGTTTTTGAGCATTACAATAAATCCATCGGATAGTTTATTTACACCATAGGTTCAGAAAAGTCATGATGTAGTCAGCAAAGATGGATGACCGAATACTCCACAATCCTTTGAGAAGTCCAATCCCCCCTTTAAATCTAGAAAGAAAGAAAAAAAAAGCTACTCCTGCTAAAACTTCTTGGCACAACATGACAGCGCCCTCTGCAGGGCAGAATACTCAACAGCTCCATTTCTTGTTAAGCCAAAATATATTTTTCTGAACTACGGTGTATACAAGAATTAAGTTAATTATAGATATGTCATAGATGACGTAGTTGTGGAAACTGATTCAATTACTGTAGTTGGATGATATTGGCTGGAAATTCATCTTTTCGATATTTATCTTGCATCCCCAAAATATTAAACTGTAAACTATCTGGTCCCAACCCCTGGACTATATATAGAGACTAACCAGAATTTTTGAAAAGTCCTAAACAGCATGGACAGCTGATACACACACTGTCAAAGGCATATCAAATCAATTCTATCAGCTGGTCAACATAAATCAGCAGTTTGGCATGCTTCAAATAACTTGTACTTGTTTTTTCATGCAAGTATACACCATTAGGTTGGTTAATTTGAGGCAGTGTTTCACGGAAAAAGGCAAAAGGAATCAATCTGGAGGCCCGCTGAAGATTAAGTGGTCTACATTTGACAATTTTCTGGACCAACATGTAGGGCGGACTAACTGTGTACTCCATAGAGCAACACCACAAGCATGTCCGTAACACTAACATGTAATATTGTGTTTAACTAAAACATAACATCAAGGCAAACATATTAGGAGTTAAATATAATTTCCAACTTGCCTAGTTTACAAATGCACCACTGAAGTCACTTTCAACCTTTTATCCATTTCAAACATGCATACGGTATCAATGATGGTGGTGCAGACATTAAATGAGCACACCTGGAGACAGCAAACACCCAAGCTTAAGCTCACAGCACTATATCCAACAGCTGTCGAAGAACATGCTGAATTTTATGGGGAGTTTATGGCCAGTTTTGTTCATTATGTTGACATCGACATTAAAAAATACTAATGAGTATAAGCTAAGCTGTCGAGGGAATGCTGTCATGAATTTTCCAGCCTCTATACCACCCAAGAGGTTTGTTTGTCTGTTGCAATCTTTTTTCTGAACTGGTTCCAAAACTAAAACTGCCAGTCAAACTTAAGTAATCATAATGCCTTTCTGTACGTTCTTGTTAGAGTTAGGGCAAAACTTCAACATGTAAACACTGGAAGTATAAGATCTTCTCTGTGATTAAGGACATGAGAGTAGACTGCTTCAGGGATTTACAGTAAAGAATGTGTGCATCTGTGCCATCTCAAAAGTGATCTTCAAAAAGGTACATAAACATTTAATAACTATATGCAAGAGTAAAAATGACAGTTGGTGATAAATCAACTTTACATCCTCTCCATCATTAGTTGCCTCAAATCGGATTTGAATCTCCAGGATATTTTGCTCATAAAAGAAAATGGTACCCTTTTGCACCTAATAAAAGAAACACAAATTAACCCACATCCTCATTTTCTGGAAGAAAATGCAGGTTACAGAAGGGTATCAAATACTTCAACCACCCTGGCTTCCAGTACCAACTTTCACACCCAACTTAATTTATCTGTATGTCACAGCATGTAGGATAACGACGTATATAATTCTGCAAACATGGTCATTACTAAGGTGTCAGCATGAACATCTTGCCCTATCATCAATGTAATAATCAAAGCTCGTGCAATTAACCCCCCACATTCAGGTGTTATTCATAAAGCTGTATGCATCAACATTGCGCACCCTCAGGTGTTTGCAGCGTAGATACCTTGCAGATGATATGATTATAGATTTCAACTTTTTTGATTGCTAGCTGGGAGTTACCTTTTTACATTAAACCTAACAACAGAGAGCAATGCAAAAGATGTGTAAGACACATGAATGTAGATGAAAACATATTTTCAAAAACTGAAACATATGAGCCATATGAAGGAATCAGAAGAGGACATGATTGTAATAAAAAGGAAATGTCAGAAAAACAGCTTGAAGCCTATGTCAGATATTCAGTAGTCTGTTTGTTCAGTGATTTCTCATAGACAGCTTGATTTAAATGTGGTAAACAGAAGGATAACTTTGAACAGAAAGATGTGTGTTAATTTCTATTTGATAAAACACAGAGTTTTGAAGCTCAGATAATGATATAAGCGCAAGGAGTTTCAACTGCATTATAATGTAACAATATAATAGTATTCCCATGATGATGGTAATTAGTGTGTGAGGATGAGACTGGAGCCGGTGACGTCAATGGCAGCAACTCGGGAACAAAGACGTCATTTTCTCAGAACCAAGATTTAATATTCTCTCTCTCCAGTTAAATTTGAGCTAATTATTGTTATGTCCCAATAGTTCACTACAACCAGTTGTCTATTCAACTGTGACTTTTTTAAATAGGGCCTTAAGATTTAAGACTGAGATTAATTCCATTGTCAAGTTTAGGAGGAGCAATTTACAAACTACCAACACCATATTCAATAGTGCAGGTTTTTTCAGCAAGAATCAAAGCAGAACTTTTCTGTGGAGATGGTGCACCAGTTTTGCATATAAATGAACAAAGTTACTCTGAGGGCTACTTACTCCAACAGAAAAAGTTATTATGGATGATTTGGTAATTTTTGAGATAATTACTCATCATCATCCCATTTTAAGGCAGACCAGCTGCAATTATAGGCTGATTTTTGCATGTTGATATTATAGAGTTCTGCTCTGAGCGTTGATATTGTGGTGGTTAATTGGCATATAGACCTAGGAGTCTTAGAAATCCTTGTACAGGCATTAAAGTAACGATTCTGAAAATAATGAGTCATCTCTTAATTCCTGTTACAGATTGTGAGTTACTCAAACCCATACCAAAGCAGTCTTACAATCTATTTATGCGTATTTGTTGGGGTCTTGCATCTCTATGGCCTCTTTTGCTGCAAATCAAAAAGCATAAGAAATGTTGTACTGGTTGCCTTTAAACATCACACACACACACACACAATACCAGGAAATATGCCTCCAATTCTCTTTGTTCAAGTCCAAATGCTAAAACTTCAGGTTGTTTCATGTCCATAAACCCACTGAGGGAGATGCAAAACAAAAGCTTAGGGCTTTGTTTGTTTTGAGTTTGTTGAAGGCATTCACAGGTCAGTTTTTAAGTGCATGAAATAAAACTGAACATAATGCTATCTGAGAACAAAGAACACCAGCCACTATTTATTCCCAAAACGTTACCAAGTTTCAGACTGCTAGATATCACTAAATACTTCAATATCTGCACACTGCACCCTTTAGATTATCTGAAAATAGTTTCCAAGTCCATCTTTCCGAGGGCATGTCAGAGCTTTATTGCCTCAAGTTTTTGGCAACCAAAAAGTCACATTACTTAGATTTCAGAAATAGAAGCAAGCAATCTCGGGACTTTTTATCACCGTGGGAACATCTATGATGTTTCAGTGTCTCTTAGAAGCACCCTGGGAGGCTAAAATTATCTAGTTTTTCCATTTTTAGAATAGCTGTGAAAAGCTCATTGGAAATTTTTTAAAATTGGGGTGCTTCTCCAACCAGACTTGAGGCATTGTGTGTTAAATTTAGTATCATAAATAGCTGCTAAAGTAACACTCTTTTGACACTGACTGGATTTACTGGCTGTTTAAATATAAAAACAGTAGAACCAACTCTTCTATAGCAAACAACAAACAGCAAGCAACCACTCTGGAGAAATAATGATAAGGTAAAACCATGTGTAAACAAGTAGGTCAGCAGTACCAACATTAAATGAATGCACCAAGGAAAGTGGGCAAGAAAGAGTGGAAGGAGACATGGGTTGAGAACCACTACCTCAACAGAAATATCAAAATAAAACAATAAAAAAATTATAATAATTATTAAAAAAAAAAATGCTTTTAGGGGCCCTGAGAGTTGTCTACAGGGGGGGCAAGTGACCCACAAAAAAACCTACTACAGGCCAAAACCGCCATGCAACCAGGCCGAAAATGCCATGCAACACTACCCAAATATTTATAAGCAGCAATAAGCAACATAATAACACCATTTCTTTGGAAAGACAACAGCGTCGCACAGAAAGTCTGAGCATAAAGATAAGCATGGGTAAGAAGCAGTTACTCAGCTAGTTTGTTGACGTGAAGCAGTGCGTCGGCGGCCCAGCGGACAGTGTAGGAAGTCTCTCCCCTCTCAGGTGTCTTTGGTTCTTGGTCAACAGCTTGTAGAAAGGGCGTTTGGGGTCAGCAGCTGATGTGGGGAAACTACCAATATCACAGAGGGGCAGCTAAGTCGCAGCAGGGGAGCACAAAAATGACAATTTTCGACAACAACTTCCTGAATCGTCCATTTCAACATTCGCCAGGTGAGCGCAAATAAGACGCAGAGCGCAGTGCAGCCGCGCGCGAGCAAAAACCGCGACAGTTTAAAAGTTAGGGGGCGTGAGAAGGAAAACACCCGGATGTGAGGTTGTTTGCACACCTTGAAGAGAAATACTTAGAGGTCTACATAATTTAGTCTTTATAGGTTAATAATTAATTTTTCAGTTGCACGTTGATACTTGTGTGTAATCACCTAAATGTAAACACTGGTTTGTTTGTGTCGACTTTGAATGGGCTTTTTCTATCTAAACATGGACAGACCATAGGGGAGTGTGGGGTAAGTTGAGCCACCCCCTGTTGCTTGGAAATGGTAAAAGAAATGGATCATGTGACCAAATATTTCGGAGATGGGCATCAATTCATGGAGTCTGTGAAGGTTAGAAGCACATGGGTAAAGAGGTTAGACATTTATTTACAAAAAAAAAACAAAAACCTTTTTCACTCTTCAAAGTGAATTTAATCTGTCCTAAATTTTATTAGAATTGTGTTCAGACCAAAAAAGATCATTTAAAATCTGTTTTATACATCAATTGTGGTATTTATGAACTACAACATGAGGTCAAAACCAAGCATAAAACTCCACCATTTTAGCTTAGAGGACTAATAAAGTCATAATAGTAGTTCAGGGGTAAGTTGAGCCAGTGGTTCAACTGAGAAAGTAAAGGAGTTTGATGAGAGGATCAGAGTTTCAGTTCAGATTGTTGAAATGTGTTACTTTGTCTTTTCAAAAATACAGCTGTGAATGTTCTGAATCACTTAAAGGCATTCTCGTGTTAAAATGGATTTTTACAAAACAGCTTTTTAGCAGTTATATGCAATAACAATAAAAAGAATTATCCTACAAGTTGAATAGGGTATAATAGATAAAGATACACATGAATGTGAAGAAGTGACTGTTATTTAGGGAGAGAGAAGGTGAGGGAGGGCTGGGGTGGAGAGTGGGGGGTAGTTGGGATACGGCTCAACTTACCCCACTCCTATGGTCAACTTGCCCCATACATAGGGTAAGTTAACTATGATTGCCTTGATGTAGTGATCCAAAATATGAAAAATGGCTCATCGTACCCCACTCCCCCCAATTCCTCAGAGGCATCCAACTTGCACAAAGCTATGTTTCTTAGCTTTTAGTAGAAGGCAGATCATAGCACAGTTGGAGTTTATGTGAGTATGGACAAAAAAAACTTGGCAGTTCTGCTGGTGTACAAACTGTAGTAGGCCTCGTGGGTCCCCCATATTGAATAGGTCTGAGTGTGTCTTTAGTGGTTGTTTTGAAATGTTTTCTTCTTTTTTTAGGTTTTGGCTTAGTATGGATGACTGGCTTGATCTTTTTCTGGCTGCGTCAGCTCCTTTATCTCGCACCTTTGACCTCAGCTTGTTGGCTTTCTTCCTTGATTGCATTGCTGTTTATTGGATCGCTGGTGGATTTCCTATTGATGGATTATACTCGTATTCTGGTTGATGTTTTTAACTTTTATTATTTCGTCTTTTAAGGGTGGCACTGAAGACCAAAGCAAGGCAAGAGCTGGCTTGCTGTACAGCTGACATTTTATTTACATACTCTGTATCACTTTGATTTTTTTCTAGTGTATTTGAAGACATGTGCAACATGTGATGTGGATTTATGTTGCCATCCAGGTTTTTTTATCTTTGACTTCTCCTTCATTTCAATTTGCATGGGGAATACATGCAACTTTGAGTGGAATACAAAACAGCAGTAAAATTAAATTATTCAAGGGAGACATAATCCCTCATATTTCGGCTGATTTTATCGAGCGATGGTTAAAAACAAAAACAATAACACAAAAATGCACTTAACCATGCCTTCCTGTATGGTAGAACTGGCTCTGCTATCAGTTGTTTTCAAACCTCTACATACCTGATTGGAGATAAAGGGAAAAGTCATGTCATTTGAAAATGAGGAATGAGCTCTCCTCCTTTCCCATAAAACGAGAGAGTCGCAGGGCTCGGCAGAGGCCAAGAGCGTCTCTGAAACAGCTGATTAGATTACCCCGCTGAGGCTGTGGTTAGGTTTTAGGCTGCGCCTGCTACCGCCGACACTCACCTCAGCTGCCCTCTCTTCTGTCTCTCATCTTCCCTTCATCCCAGGCTCACAGTCTGGCCCTTGCAGAGTAACAACTCCCCCTGTAGGATCAAGCCAGGACTTCAACTTGAAAACCTCAAATGCCTGGCTGCAGCTTGGGAAGTCTTTTGAGGTGAGCAGACTGCTGCGGCACATGTTTTGAGTGGATTATTTTTTTGATTTCCTTTCATTTTGGAAGAAAAAGAATCATGAATACAGGAGTGGGTGTAAGACTACTTAAGAGACAGATGGTGCAAGTCCTTGACTTCTATTGTTACAGTCTCTCTAAGTAAAAACTCATGCAGAACATAACAGTTTTACGGAAAGACAAGCTTGCCTATAGAGACCACAGGCCAGTTCTGATTCACTGTGCAGAGACAAACTTTTCAAAAATCCTGCAGATCTGGTAAGTGTAAGGAAGAGCTGGAATGGAAAGTAGATCAATATATCATTCAACATGTATTAAAACAAGCATAATATCTGACAGATAGTATAGAGCTTTTTTTCCCCCTCAGAGCATATTAATGCACTGTGTTTCAGCAGCTGTCCATGTGCATTGTCAGTGAATGAAATTTCATTTTGAGAAATTAAAGTGCCTGTGTGTGTCTTTTAGAGTGACTCACGTCCTTTTTCAGTAACAATTGAATTTAAGAAATGGCAGGTGAGCAGAGTCTAGGTATCAAAGATGAGCCAGCTCATACATTATTCAGTCATCAAGACATTCAGTGCGTAACTATTTCTTTATTGCACCAACATTTTCTCTTTCAGATATCATCTCCTGTGAAGCCTGTTGTCAAAAAAATACAGAGGTAGCCAAAACCCGCAGGCTTGTCGGATTGTGGAATGAAAAGCTGGAATTTATCTGCATCAATTGTGAAACATCCCTGTCAACTCGAAACATCCTTCACCTTTACATGGAACTGTTTCACAAAAAAAGTTTTAAAAGATTTACAAGGTGAATTCAGTTGATGGTCTATGGACATTCATATTAATGTAAACCAAAGCAACAGTATAGCTCCTACTTGCATCCAATAAAACAAAGATTTACTGTTCTTTGTTATTTATTCGTCTTTTTATGTCCTCTGCAATTTGGGAAACATTTGATGTGTTGTCATGACAAAACTTTTCTGGTGATACCTACTGAAACAAAGGCAGAATGGCATAGATAGAAAATCAGCAATGTATACTTGTTGATAATACCTGTTTAATGGATAGAGTGCAGCCTTACTTCAGCCAACTAATTAGAGTAAACAAGACCTTAAAACCAATTACAGTATTAAACAGCTTACTGAAGTGAAGCACTGAGGCCCTGAGCTACTAACGTGACATCGACAGACAAATAATCACCTTTTATCAAATTTGTGCTCACAGGGTGCACAGCGCAGTGAGGGTAGAATCCAGTGAAAGAATTAGAAAAGAAAATATATGCGTTTTATAGACTAGTCTGTGGCTCTGGGTGTATTGTAATAAACAACAAGGCATAAAGAAAGACAATCTTGCACTTAAGAACCTGAATCAGACTCAAGGTGCCAACAAAATTAAAGCAACAAATCGTAACTCTCACCATAATTCGAGCAGCAGATTCTGCATTGATTATAAAAATTGTCATTTAAATTTCTTTTTTGATTCTTAAAAATTTTAGGTCAGCTGTAGCCCAGCTTAAACTGCATGCATGTCTGTGTAAACGGGACTGGAATAAGTCTAGGTCATGTGGCGCTTATTTTACCTCCACTGCAAACATCACAACCTTCACCTTGTGCCGTTAATTCCAGCAGATTTAGATCATTTCCCAAGTAAAACTGCACTTGGAAATTACACGCATGATTCCCAATGTAAATAGTGGAATTAAACTTTGACTGCGCCTCTTCCTGTTAATTTCGCAATCTTCTCAAATGTCCGTGCTATAAATACAACATTTAATAACTGAGAACAGAGAAAACAACACAGCCTCTAGACTGTAAAACACAAGGAGAAAAAGGCTAAACAAGATAAGTAAATAAGTGTCATAAATCAAAGGTAGTTTTAAGCCAAAGCATTATGCATTGATATATAGGTAGGTGGCAGGGGGCGAAACATTTCGTCTGTTCGCTGGCTGTTGCAGTTACTGGCAGACTGTGATGTTTCAGATGGTGGCAGGTTTCCCTTCCAGCAGTCTGTCAGTGTTGGCTCTGAGCCACCTGTGAGTCAGGTAGGGCAAGTGAGGACAGCTTGGCAACAATACACTGCGATACACGAGCCCAGGAGATGTTGTGGGATTTGAGAGAGCAGGCCACTATCTGACCTGGTTCAGTGAGAATTTATATCTGTGTTGCCTTTTTCTCTCAAACATTACAGGTTTAACAAAATCAGCTGATGTAATGCAAAATCCCCTGAAGATAGAAGTTTTATTTTTTGGTAGCCTTTATGTCGTTTCAGCTTATCAATAAGTACAGAAAGAAATGTTGTCCTTTACACCTTTGATTACTTCAGTAGTATTGGTGAGTCGAAGAATTTCTCAGCCTGCTGTCCTGGGTTCAAATGGAAATCTTTTTATTCTTGAAAATGAATCTAACAGCATATTATTTATCGTCAAAGATAGTCTAACACTCTGACAACCAACCACATCAAGTTTTAGTCAAAATGCTTTTTTTTCCATTTGGTAAGTGACACCAAATTAGGTTTAAATCAGTAACAACTATGTACGCTCATCTCTGCATTTGTTTGTCTGTTTGAGTTGTTCTCTGTAATCCCAAAAAAGGAAGGTATTTAGTGTTTTAAAAAAGCAGAGCTTGTAAAGAGCCTATAAAACTTCTTCTTTTGAGGGAGTCTGTGTGTTTCATTAAAAACTGGCGAACTTAAAAGACTTGATATTCACCATCTTGCGAGACCTTTAATCTTAAAAATCTTGGTTCAAAATATCTGCAATGATTCTAAACTTTCCCATTTAAAAAAGCAAACACTGAAAGCCTCTTAAGTATAAAAGTTTGTGAAAAAGGGACAAATTTCGAGTTCGCTTGATAACGACTGAGACCCGAGCCGAGGTCAACCTCTGATTAAGCATGTGCTATTGGAGGTCCAACTGTGTCTTTACAGAAGTTTGTGAAAAAGACAAAACAAAAAAGCAGGCTTCGCTACTGAGAACACGTTGTATCCTAATAACAGCTGAGATCCAAGTGGAGGTCTAACTTCCAACTGTGCCTGCACTTGCATTGTCACAGCCTGGAAAATATATGGTCAGCTAAAGAAAAAATATAAAGTTTATAGCAGAAAAGTGCCATAATTCAGAAGTATATGCAAAGAATGATACATGTTTGTCTGTGAGACCTGTAATGCCAGTAAAAATGAAAATAAGCTTACTAATGGAACATTTAATACCTTAAAGCTGCTGAGGGACTTTTGGTTTCTGTTGATTTTGGTGCCTCCCTGTGGGCGAAGATAGCACCTTGTGGCTTTGCTGATCATGTTCTGCACTGACAAAGTTTTTCCTGACTGAAACACTTTTTTCTGTAAGTTAAATACAGTATGTCGACATTGTGAATGTTGTCTTTAATAGTCCTAAAGAGGAATTAGTTTCAGTCTATTCCACACTCAGTAAAAAAATTCCTGACAGTGGCTTTGAGTGGGATTTATTTAGCTTCTGCATGATCGAGACAAACATTTTGGCAACATGGTCATTAGCAGAGAAACTGACATTCCACGTAGAGGCCTCTCTTTATGAGTGATCTATTAATGAGGATGCTTGAAAAAGCCCCAAACAGACACACTTCAATAAGTAACCAGAGTGACGTCCTGCGGACTGCGGGTTCGTTTCGGGTCATGGTTAATATGTGGAAAGACAGAGAGGGAGGACTTGCTTTGATAGTCTTCATTATTACTGAGGACACAGAACATCAAAGCAGCTATTTGAGCTGCAGCTCTATTACACTTGATTTACAGCCCGGCTGTGCTGTTGGAGAACGTGGTGTCACAATACACTCGTTGTTTACTTTTATCACATAAAATTTGATTCCCCACATTAAGCATGGAGTTCTGGATACTGTTTGACAGCAGTTCCCCTCAGACTAAAAGCAGATATACACGTAACAGTGAGATGTTTTTATGCCTCAAGATGTTTTCCTGTCAACACTCATCGTTTTGAATTGTGTACATATTCTCTCTGCTGCTTTGGGCCTTTTTGATTAAAGTTTGTAGCTTTTTAATTCAAGTTTTCATGTTGTTTGCATGCAATTTTCATGCTTCCTTTAAACTCCAATGAGTACACAGTTATTAAATTGGTAACGTGAAAACAGCTTTACTAAAAGAAAACTTCAATCTTTGGATCAAATTTAGAAAGGGAAAAGTTTGTAATTGTATGTCATTTGGATCAGCGTTCATCCCTGCACTTCCTTAAAACACAGTTTAACCATTTTAAGACTGAATTATTCCCTACAGCTTGTTTTTATTTAGAACAGTTATATACAGAACTCATGTTAGATTTTAACAGTGATACTTCTAGCCGGCTGTGTATTTCAGGGTTGTTGTGTCAACTCAGGACAAGGCAACAGATCCTGTAGATACGTCTCAGAGGAACAACAAAAGTCTAAATTCCCCGAACTAGTCCACTTCCAAAAAAAAAAAACCCACACTTGTTTACAATTGGCCTTACGCTTGTCAATCCTGTGTGGCTCCCAGCTTCACCTTTACCTTGTGTAACATCCAGATTTAATACTCTTCAAACTGGGAGATAAGCTACAACAGCCAACTGTTGCAGAAATATCAGGACAGCATCAAAAACAGAGTCACTCTCATCACTAAAACAGGAAGTAATCCATAAAGCACGTGTTGTCACAAAAAAAAGAGATCTTTTTTTTCCTCCTCTTCAGAGAAAAACTTAATTCCTCCACTTTCGCAGTGTAGGAGCTTTCAGTGCCCACTCAAATGTAATCTGCCTCCTGCTAGAGTATGAGAGACTCTCTATATCGATAAATGAAAATGAACAGCCTGGCTGTGTTTGTGCTGATGTTTGGAGTGTGTCCTGTGCCTTTTTGCTCATATAATACTCTCTAAATTAAAGGCTGACTGAGAGGATATGTAGTATTTAATGTACAACTGCAATAAATCCATCGGGGTTGATATGCCAGTTTATTAACCACTGAACTGTTGTCTTCAAGAAGCAGTTCAGATTATCGCCTCAGATGTAAGGTATATGTGTGTCTGTAACCTAAGATTATTTCTAAGATATCAAATTTCACTTGTGTGTAATCTGTTGTTGTGAGACATTTGTTTGAATTTTAATCAAACTTCTTTGTTGGTTTATGGCTTTCTATATCTAAACTCTTCAACTGCTTTGTTTATATCTTCTTATTCACTATTTCTTATTGTTAAGCACTTTGTAACGTTTCTGAAAAGTTTAATTCCAATAAAATGATCATTATATTAATGATTCTCACATCAGAGAATAAAAATTTAACATTATAGTTTATCCATATCCTCATTTATCTGATTTCAATGGTTCATTAATGTAAATTATAAGTAAATTATAATAACTGAGAATGTGCTGCTGTTATTTTTTTTTTTCAATAAGTAAATTTGCTTCTTAAAGTCAAATATAATTTTTCAATATAGTTGTGGGGTTAACCACTGGTTTACTCATCAGACACACACCTCACTGCTTTAAAAGTGTGTTAGTTTGTTTTCCTCAAAAACAGATTGTTGTCATTTTGTGTTTTGTTTAAGTGTAAGTGACCAATTATTACATTCATATGGGCTTCAGGGCCGCTTGATTCTACTAGGCAAGAGATGAGATAGTTAAATTCTGCAGGGTAAACATGTTTGAGTAACAGACTGTGATTTTCCTCTTTACAGGTATCTAGCTCCCCCTGGTGTTCACAGCAGTCCATTTCTAACCAAGATGCAATAACCACGATGGGGATTCTCCACTTGTTTAGTACCCTTGATGCAAAAAAAGTCGCCCCAGTCTCCCTATTGGAGGAAATGTCCCCCTCAGTCAAGTAAAGCCAAAATGGATGCATGGTTGTAAATATATATTCAAATAATCTCTTTATTCATTCTATATAGTTGTACACCACTAAAGACAGTGATAGGAGCACACAACGGGCATGAACATTTGTCAGTAATATAGAGGAGGAGGAAACTGCAGATTTTGATCATAAAAATAAGAACATCTTCTAAATCCTGGTGTTGCTGAAAGTACATCAAAAACACAGGAGAAATAAGACGGTATGTGCCAGATTGACTTCTTTTACTTGCTATTGATGTTTTTATTCTGTACAGAGGGACAATTTGTACAAAATTAATCTAGATATATAACACTACATGAAACAAGGTAAATCATATATACAATATTAAATGAATCATATAGTACAGGTCACATACAAAAGGACACTTTAAGTTATCATGTTTTGGAAATATGTTAAAATTAAAGATCTGCAAAGATCTTGCAGAATGAGAACAAGCCACCAAATCATGTCTAAATCATCGCTTCTTATCACGGACGACTTGTTTTTTCAGCACTAAAATAAACCTCAAACATCTCAGCTTAAACTAAAAAAACTAAAAAAAAAATCATAGAACATCTCTCCCAGCAAGCAGGACTGTTTCATAAATGCAACAACCTCGACAACAGAAATCAGTCAGTTTGGTGAATGGCATTCCTCCAGGGTAAAAGGTACATGTTTAACATGGTAGTTTAAATTTACATCTTTTTGCATTCAAGCAAATACAGTATTAATACAGTTAACAAGCCAAGTCACAAGTCTTTTTGTTTATTTTCAGCATCTGGCATTTTTGTGGCCATTTGATACCAGTGTGTTTTAATGTTGGGCATCCTGAAAAGCCAGAAACTAAAAGTCCAGAATCTGACAGCCACGCAACGAACCTCCAGAGACAAGACAAAGAAATACAACACGCCAAATATGAAGGATGTGGCAGACCTACCTCTTCAGTTTAAACAATGGTACTGACTGGAAGATATTTTCCAACACTGAAAAACTTCCTTAGGAGAATACAATTTACAAAAAACCCGCAAACCAAACACATGAAAGAAGGATGGTAACAACAGAAACATGCCAACCTTTAACTTAAAGGATTTTTTGGTAGCTTTCGTCAATATACTCTGCGCATTAATCGTATGTCATCTGTGGGTATGTTAAAAACTACTAAAGTCACCAGCTCTTATGTTTGAAAATAAATTAAATCCTATTTTTTTAATAAGACGGTTTTAAAAGATGAGTGCTAAAAACCATCAGCCAGTGGCGTTTTTAGCTAGAAAACGCTCTCTTCTATTCAACATGAACTAATTTGTGATTATATTTTCTTTATATAGATAATCATTCCTATTCATTTTACAGTTTACATAAAAATCCGCTTCTCAGCCACCCCTCCGTCCTTACACAGCCAGTTTGTGCGACTCGCTTCACCCAGGTATCAAAAACAAGAACTTGAATCAGGGGAGTAAATCCATGCAGCTTTCATCAAAGTCTCTTTTACCATAAGAACAGTAAGTACCATTGTTTGAACTCGATGCATCTCTATGGTCTGATTTATCGAATCTTGCCAATGAACAAAGTGAAGCAAGCATATAAAAAGAACGGCATATGGCACAAAACTATAAAACGGAAAGCGCTGGATGTCCACAGGACAACTTCCCCTTTCCCCCGCCATCTCTCCTGGACATTGCAAGGCTGAGGACGGGCCTCAGTTTGGTCTGGTGTACTCTACACTAAAAAATAAACCTTTAAACACCAGTCAAAAACAAAGGCAGGTGTCCCTGTTAAAGTCACACATTAAAATATGACACACACAAAAACAAAAAAAAAGAACACGACGGTCTTGGCACTGACAAGATGTCCGTTACAAACAATAAAGAAAATGTAGACAGATGACGGGAAAGTCTTGTCTTTCATCTTTTACCAACCGGTTCTGTTTTTGTTCCCTTTGACAGAAAAGAAAACCAAGCAGAGACCAACAGATGATCCAGAGATGAATCAGTCTGTTCCTATGTTTCCACGTCCGATCCATTGTGAACAAGTTTGCGAGAAAGGATGAAGGAGCTAGCGGTGTGGCGTCCGTACTCCCAGGTTCCACATTTACAGTGAGCGCAGTGAGCAGGGCGGATGAGAGGAGAGAGGAGGTGAGGGAAACTAAAGAGGGGTAAACACACTGAACGTGACGAGGGTTAAATGAAACATATACACCCACTCCTCTCCAAATAAAGAAAAAAACCTGAGAGAGCAGAAGACCGAAGGATGGGGGGGGGTTCAGGGCTTCTGCGCTGTGGCAGCAGGAGTGAAGAGGAACTAAGGACCGGTGTTGAGGAGGAGGAGTGATGGAGAGCCCAACAATGTTAGCCAGTGACTTCCATGGCTGTTGAGGGCAGACGGGGTAGTTGAACCAAAGAGCCGGCAGGTAGCAGGATAACTAGAGTCCATCGTGGGTGGTCAACATGTCTTCAGCTCTGCGGTGGGACTCCAAGGCTTTTGTGGTGTAGATATCCTGAGGCAACTCAGATTTGCGTCGCACCATAGGCCGCTCTTTCCGATGGTCATGCTGCAACTGAGATGGGCATAGATAAGGAGTCAGGCTTGACGACGACTTCTCATATCATCCCTCCCTATCAAACATGATACAGCAACAGGATCTGTGCTGATCCTATCTCTGAGATGAAGCACAACGGCCCCGGCGACATGCAGTTACACAGAAATGTCATTAACTGAGAGTGAAAACATGGTGCACCACAAAAACAAATACATCAAGTGTACTGTAATAACTGTATGGAGCCTAAAAGTGTACAATATTTGAGTTGAAGAGACATCCTTATCGGGTACTTTGATCTAGTGGTCGATTCGTTTAACTTAAATCAGTCTGGTTCATTCACAATATTGAACACTTTAAGGATGCATACCACTAAATAAAATATGCGTGTAGACTAGGGCTGAACGATTTTGGAAAATAATCTAATAGCGATTGTTTTCCTCAATATTGCAATTGCGATTTAATATGCGATTTACACAAACAATAAATCAATCTGTAATATAGTAAACGATATCAGAGTAATTATACATCAATTCTTCTTTCAGGCAATTATCATTTCACAGACAGACACACTACTGCGCACGCCATCATATACGTCATGATACTAATCAATGTACCGATGGCGAGATGTAATCGGTGCCCAAAAAACTGGAGTCGGGTCTATTCCAAAACCGTATTGGCCACGTTTTCACATTGTTACGCAGACGCGGTTTGAAGTTGAAGTGCTGGTGTTTTCGCCATTCAACAAATGTACATGGCTTTGTTGTTTTTTTTAAGTGTTGATTAAAGTTCGTTGTGTTGTAGCAACAGTAGCACTAAAGGTTCTGCACACATTGCGCTGCGGCATCTTTTCTTGCCAAAATAAATCCAAACAACTGTCCTGCTGCTCCGTTCGCTTGTAAACACGTGACCAGTCAAAATCGCATCCTTTGCGGTTAGAAAATTGCGTTTTATCATACCGCGATGTGATCGCAAATGCAATTAATCGTTCAGCCCTAATGTAGAGCCCATGATTCCGGTCTTTTAGTCCATGGCCACATTGTTTTATTAAGTAGGTTTGTTTTAATCACAAATCAGAAACAAGACATAAAACAAGACCCTTTAAGACTACTTTACTCAGACTAAAGGTCAACAGTAACTATTTATGTAGCTCTTTCCTTAGTTAACACATCTATGAATGTATAATGGAAAGATGAAAAGAGACAGAGAGAAAGCCAGGTTTACCTGAGTCGCGCCCTCCTCAACTGTCTTTTTTAACCTCTGAACATCTTCTATCAAAGGGATATCCGTCTCCATTGCTACAGGACTATTGAGGTCAGAGGAATCAACATACATAGAGAACTATGTTGAAAACAAAGGGAAACAAAAACAAAAACAAAAACAAAACACAAAGGGATGGAGAAAAGACTTTCAGTTGCATGCAAAGAAGAATGAATCAGGCTCTGAACTGATTTCAAGGAGCAAATCTACAACTACTGCAGTCATCAGTTTAACATGCATTAGTTGTGGTGTGGGGATCAAGATCACTGAGAGGATTCTCTGATTGGCTTATTAAGATTCAACGCAGCATCTCCATCAAATGACTTTCAGAGGTACGCTGAAGAGGTACTGTGGTTTTCTTTTGGAAGTTATATTAAAAATGCTAGACAGTGATGTTCCATCTTAGTGAGATTTAAATAAATCACCAATATTTGTCACGTACAAACTCTGTGTGCTTCACTTAAAGCAGGCAGTCAGCTTAGATTAGCACAAAGAATGGACAAACTGGGAGCAGCCATTGTGAACACTGTTAAATCAAATCAAAATCAAATCCAATTTTATTTATATAGCGCCAAATCACAACAGACGGTATCCTAAGACACTTTCCAAAAAAAAAAAGGAGCAGGTCGAGACCACACTCATTGATGAATCACCAAGCCCCAACCTCGAGATGGGACAGATTTAACCTATCTCATCTAACATGAATGACAGTGACAAGGAAAAACCTCCTTTTAACAGGCAGAAACCGTGTTAGGCAACACCTGTAGAGCTTGGCAGGTAAAACATTATCTCACCAGAATATCATTTGCCCTGTTTTTATAAGGGAGTGTTTGGTTGGAGATATTCCTGGAATTTATAAACGTCCTGATTGACACAGGATGGCTGCTTCCTCTTCAATCCATTCACTGTGCGAAAGCTAAGCTAACAACTATGACATTAGCTTCAGGAGAACCAAACAGGCATTTGAATTGATTAGTAAAAATTTTTACTACAGTTGATGCCAAATGTAGCCTTTAAGGGTCAAATTTAACCGTTTTAATATCTCTGAGGGATCACTTGATTTATGAAGAGATGTCCGATTTCACCACCCACCACATCTAAGCACATTGTCAGAGCGGGGCGCCAACTTTAGATCATTCCATCTTTAGTTTTATTAGGGAAAAACAATAAAACTACACAGTGACAGCATGAGCACACAGTCTTAGCAAACTCAAAATGGGATAAGATGGAAAAATGGACTGCAAGTCAACTACGAAACTAAAGACACTCATTTCATTGTATTAGTTACAAACAGACACACTTTAGTAGTAATGAGGGGGGAAACATGCGTGTTTGAATTGATGCAGCCATCGCTGACCTGTGGATTCGACTTGGCCAGGTTTTCGATCTTTATCCACGCCTCCTCACGTTCTTTTGACTTCGCCTTCTCTCTGTTGGACAAAGCACCAATCCTAACGTCATGAACATGCTCGACTTAATTATAAGGAGTATTTAGGGCTGACTGTCACATAGACCTCCTTTTGGAACAGATCAAGCGAGGCAGTAAGGGAGTTTGAGCTCACTTGTTTTTCTCCGCCCTGAACTGCTGTGTGCAATCATCAAAAAGCTTCTGGTTCATCTCCATGAAAAGCTTCAGAGCGTTGTAGATGAGGCCGTGGATGGTCCTTGGAACACACACACATAAGCAGACATTTATGAATTAAATCAAGAGGCATCATGACTGACAGCCAAAGTTTACAGCTCTATCATAACTTTAACTTTGAAGGAGGACACTTGCATGCTCCAGAAGGTTTACCATTAGCCCCCTCTCTAATCTCCACTAAAATGCAGGACCCTGTACAGGCTAGTAGACCAGTCAATGCAATGATCCAATCTCTTAATTTATTACCCCTGAAAAAACCTGCTTGTTTCGCCAGAAATCAATTTTTTCTGTGCTGCTCTGTTACAGCAGCTTTTATTCCCTCCTCACGACAACAAACGGACCCTGTAATTACAGCTGGTAGAGACTGAATTTCCCATTTTCATGTTAAAATCAGCTGCAAATATAAGAGGAACATCTTCTCTAGAGGAAACTGTAGATTTATTTGTAATTTCTCTGTGTACATTTTTATTTTTTTTTACAAGAAAAGGCTATGCAACCGTAATATCACACCATCTTTAGGGCATTTCCACTGGTATAGGATCACAGTCAGCTGACAACTCCTACACACTGCAGGATATTCAGGACTATTTTCAGCCCCTCTTCCAACAAAACTTGATTATCAAATGGTTCCCAAGATTATCCGGAGGTGTGAGGTGTGTTAAAAGTGATTTTTCTTCCCCTAAATCTGCACGGAGGATAGTCGGAGTTCGTGTTCGTTGGAGACTGTTAGTTATCAAAGTTAAGATCAGCTGAAGAAATGTGACGGGCAGTTTGTTTTTTTTTAGCTGTCAGCTGATCTATTGTGCAATGTACATATATGAGAGGAATTGAGGTAGCTCAATGTTCCAGCACTCCTTTGCGTTGTCTTTGTGTAAATAAACAAAGTACGCGTTGAAAGGTAGGCAGCCATTGAGAGATTCTTTATGATCGAGTGATTCTGATCTACAGGAGAGTACATTCTGTGACAAGGCTGGAGTCTCATACACTCGAGAGATACTGGCAGTTATTGTGTCAGTCTGGTGTTACATGCTGTGTGAAGTGCAGAGCTCGAGGACAAACCACATTCGAGTTTCTTACTTGTTCCAGTGAGTCTTCGAGTTGCGGTACAGAGCGGGGAACATGATGGGCAGAATTTTCGCCGCGTTGTCGCTGATCAAGCTCATGATGTACTCGTTGTTCCAATAGTACAGAGCTCTCTCTGCCACCTACAGGAAACATACAGAGCCACTCGCAGTGAGATGAAAGCTAACTTGTTGTAGCTGTGACTGCACAAATGTGACGGCTCTTCGGTTACCTGGAAGTGTGGGCTGGATACACACTTGGCGAGCTGTCTGAAAAGAGGCTCTTGTACTTTAACGAACTCTGAGGGCTCGATGACGTCCAGGATCTCCTCCAGCTCGTTCAGGAACATCACTTCCTTGGGACTGTGTGTCTTTGGCCAGTACTTTAGTAGAGCCATTACCACCTGCGGAGGGGGAAAAACGAGCGCCACTGTTGATAAACATTCAGCGAGCAGTAAAGCATGAAATTATTCTAGCAGATTTTATTTGGCGTACCGGCTCAGTTAGAGTGCTGTCCTTTTCTAAAAACTGCACCACGCAGTAGGCCAGCTGCAAAACACATAAACAAACACAATCATTAAACTGTCAAAAGTATTTTAATTTACGCACCGGCGGATTAAAGGTGAGGGACGTGACATGCCTGAGGGGCCGACTGGCTGGAACATGTAATGCCAGTTCTCAACAAAACCTGCAGAATGACCTGCTGCTCTCACGTAAAGCAGAGGAGTGTACTCCTGACAGGTTTGGGCATGAACATTTGAATACATATAAGTTTATTCCTGCACCACAAACAAATTATGCTGCTCATGCTTCAGCAAACATACCTGTGGATGGTAGACACTGAGTGATTTGACTTTGTGCAGAGGCAATAAAACCTTCAACAGGAAAATCTTGTGCTCTTCTTTTAGTGGTAAGGCAAACCCATTGATTATGCTGTAAGATAAAGAAAAAAAGAAGTCCTGTTAGAGAAGCTCAAACTATAGTGTGTGGTGATTCACCATAGAGGCATATGCATTCACTTCAGTTTGATACGGGCACGGTTGTTTCATGACTTGCTAGTCTAATAATAATAATAACTTTACTTTTATAGCACTTTTAAAAGCAAGAGTTTAACAAAGAGGATAAAAACAACAACAAGAGAACACTTAAGGGAAAGAGCCTCAACAAGAATAAAACTCAGACTACATGTCCTAATGTCACATTAGTGGCAATAAAGAAATAAAATAAATATCAATGGAAGACATCAAAGCTTTGATGAGTGTCACATGAGCTGAGACATCATTGAACGAAGACATTCAAAGACATTTTAAGAACCAGTGATACCCGGCCAACACAGGAGCCCAACCACAAAAACCTGAGACCAAGGGGACTATCATAAAACATGAATAAGAAGAGTAAAAGGTTTTAAAGAAGACAAAATCACATAAAAGCAAGTCTATAAAGAAAAGAGTTTTAAAGACGTAATTTAAAAGCAGTGACTGTTTCTGACTGCTAATGCCATACCTTCCAAGTATTTCCAGTAGTTCAGCTATACCATTATGGTGCTCTGTCTCATAGATAAACCTGCAAACAAACAGAGGGACGTGAATCCTTTTTATATACTGGCTCAGCAAATCTTTAACAGGCAAAAACTGGCAAAGGTTGCTCTCACCTATAGAAAATGTTATTAATCTGTTTTCTGATGTACGCTCTGAGCCCCAGGAACTTTCCATAGATCCTGTGGAGGGTAGTTTTTAGAAAGTCTCTCTCTCTGGGATCCTCACTGTCGAATAGTTCTAGGAGCTGTGCAGACAAAAGAGCGGTGAAATGACAAACGTCATCTTTTCATTCTGTTGATTCGAGAGGTTTTCCTTCGCTTACCTGCAAAACAAACTTCTGATCGATGTATTTCTTGGCTATGTTGGGCTGGAAATCTGGGGATTCTAAAAACCTAAGAAAAAACTCGTAGACAAGCTGCAAAAAAAAGGAGAAGAAAACAACAACGAGAGTGAATGCAGGGAAGGAATCTGATCAAATACAGACATCTAAATCTACTGTGTTGGCCAAGTAAAGACTGCATGAAAGTCCTGACTCAGCCCTGAGGAGAGACGAAAGAGATGTGTGCTTCTCAGTTTAGCCTTTAGGATTTCTCCATGATGTAGACGAATGGATTACAGGGTCTCTGCAGGTTTCAACAAGTCAAAATTAAGACTGTTTATAGACTGATTAAAATTTAAGACCCATTTATCATCCATTTATCAGACATTAAGGGAAAGCAGAAGAATTTGTATTGCTTTAAATCAATCAATTTATTTTTCAGTAGAGTTAATTCATTTTTAAGACCTTTCAAAATCGCATTTTTAAAGACATTTTATTTTAGGACTTTTTAAGACCCTGTGAATACCCTGAATAAGAACTGTAGCCAGAACAGTGCAAAAGCTTTCTTGTTTTCTTTTCTGTATTTAAGTGTCCATATTGAGGGATTTTCTTCAAGGTTGAACAAACTTTCATAGACACAGAAAATTCTGTGATTGAAAAGCCGACCTGGAGGTGTGGCCATGCAGCTTCAAGCGTCGGCTCGTCTTCCTCCGGATCAAACTCCGCTCCAGTAGGGTTGGATGATGGAGGCAATGTTCTGAACATGTTCACGGCAAACTGCGGGAGGAGGCATGAAAACGACACCGTTAATGCCGATTACACAAGCGCTCTGCTCTTTTATTAAATTAACCTCCTTCTTTTGTCTCAGTAACCCTGATGGGACCATACAAATGCCAGCTGCTCGAACCAGCCCAGGTTACAGGTTTGAAAAACACACAACTGGTACTTGACTTGGTGAATCAACAGTAGAGCCACATCAACAGATTTTCATTTCAAATGTTCAGAGTCTCCCCATACTTAAAAAAAGACTTTTAAATTTCTTGTAGTTTGCTTTCTCACAGTTAAGTTTCAAAACATCCATGAAATCCCAGATAAAGTAGACCTACTGTGGCCATGTGCTTGAGACAAAGTTTCCACACAGCCTGAAGCACATTAACTTTTCTATAAGCGTAATTATAAATCAGCTCTTTGATTCAAAAGCTTGATCATATGTCATTATCACCCCAAAGTGTCAGATTTCATTATTTACTTTTCAATCTTCTGTGAACTCCTGATTTCCAAAGACAGAAAAATAAATCATTGTACTTTTAAAAACTTAATGTTTGTTATTAGCCTCTAAGATATCCTCTCTTCCATATTCCAAAATAACTTTTTTTTTTGAAGGTTAATGTCAACTTTGTCCTTGCGACTGGCCTCCGAGGGTTTGGTCCATAATAATCCAAGTGTGCTGTGTTTCTGGTCTTTCTAAGTGTCAACTGACTCCCCTGTGGGCTTCTGTTCCCTGCCAGGCAGATCATGGGACAGTGCAGGTGGCCTACTAAAACACAGGGAGCCTTGTTTGAAAAGACGGGCTATAAGGTAGATGGTCTGTGGTGTGCTGAACATGCTGTGAGGAGGACTTTGAGTTAGATCCACAATAGGGCCTTTAAAAGGTAGGGTCGTCACCACCAATATGCATGTTAGTCTCTCGCTGGCTTTGATGGCCAAGAGAGAACAGCTTTACATAAGGGAGGGGGAATGGGTCTTGTGAGAGTACAGTATTTTCATAATGTTTACTGATGTGTTTTTTTTGCTAACACTTTACTTGACGCCCATCTCTATAACACATTATAAATACATGTATAATGTGTTATAATCACGTTATAGCACTGTATAACTATAGTTATAAACACTCATAAATCATCATAATACTTTATAGCAATAATCATAACACATTATAAATCATTTTATCATGACTTACAAGGTCAGCTATTATAATGTGTTATAACTGTTAACAACTCACTGACAATGCCCACATAGATAATGCATTATACATATATTTATGATGTGTTATAATTTGCTTATAAACTTGTATAACTATCATTATAAACACTAATTAATTATCATAAGGCTTTATAACAATAAGCATAACACATTATAATACCTGACCTTGTATATCGTGTTATGATTATTGCTATAAAGCAATATGACCATTTATGAATATTCAACTATAGTTATACAGTGCTTTAACATGAGTATAACGCATTATACATATATTTATAATGCCTGATAGAGAAAGGCGTCGAGTAAAGTGTAACCGTTTTTTTAAATTGCTGATTTATATTTACATTTAATCAAATACAACAATTTTTATACCATTTTGCTTCTGACAAGTCAAATACCAGGACATTTGATGCCACAACAACTTTGCTTTCCTTTCATTCCCTTTTGCTAACGCTCAGTAGCAAAAATTAAAAAGCTATTTTCTCCTGTAACCTCAAGGAATCATCACGAACATAAAATTTTAATGGTTTTGTCCCCTCCCCGTTTTTCTTGCACAAATGTTTGAAAGACATCAGGAGGTGTTAAAAATAAGTGACTAAATAGATCGTCTTTGGTTAACACCTCCTTGAAATCAGCTCCTCTGCCCTTGGAAAAAAAAAAGCCTCATTAAAATCTGATCGCAAACATCAGCTGAGACTCAAACCCGCTATTTTCAGCCCTCATTGTCAGCGTCAACCTCAAACACCTCACACATCTACTGACCATGTGCACCACCTCTGGGTAGATAGGCTCTGTGATGACATTCCTGTTGTGGGTGATGTACTCCACCATCTCGCTTAGCGCCGCTCGCTTCACCTCCTTCCATTTCAGGTCGCTCAGTGGGTCAGACAGGAAGTCGAAAAGGACACAGCACTGCCGTAGCTTCTGGATGAAGAGCTTCTCCTGCTCTGCAGGGGCCACATCTGAGGAAACAAATTGGAGTGAAGTGAATTGGGTGAAGCAGAGGAGAGAGCTGAGGGACGGGTGAAAAGAGAGGCAGCAAAGCGGGGATGAAATAGAGCGGTGGCGAATGTAGGACAATGGAGCCATGTTCAAAGAGTGAGGGCTGTCAAGGATGTCAGTTAAAACAGCAAATGACAGAGGAAAAACGAGGCAGCAGGGGAGCGATGAAGACCGGCAAATGAGTCACAAAGTTTAAAGTGCACTGGGAGAGAGGCTGAGATGGTTGAAGCCCAGATTAGAGCTGAGGAGCGAAGACTAAGAGGAGAGGGAGAAGAGGATGGAGGATTTGGGTAGAAGGTGAACAGTCACAGTCAAGCCATTTGACACTCGCGCTGTGTGAGAGAGAGAGAGAGAGAGAGAGGGATAAAAAAAAAAAAAAGAGATTTTCATAAAGGAAACCAAACTATTCGAGTCTGTCATTATATTTGTCCACGGCGGTTTGAGGAGTTCCTGTTTCGCTTCATTTCCACCCAAGCACACACGAGCACGAGTTTGTAAACAAACAATCTATGCTGGAGTCGAGGCTTCACACATGACAACACAAAGAGGAAATAACCATTAGTGTGACTCCAGATTCCTACCTGCTGATGTGGTGAAACAACAACAACACACAGTGACACTGTGATTATGGAGTTATGAGGCACAGACTGCTGTGTAGCTTGTTTTTGTTGTTTTTTTTTTAACAGTGATTGTTTGTTATGTTTGATCCACCATCTTACTCAGCAATAAACATCTATACAATACATGACTTTTACTTGTGTGAGTTAGATGAAAAAATTCAGCATTTATGATAGTAGGCATGATAGTGGTAGCCAGAACAGCAGCACTAGTTAATAGCTCCTTCAGTAACACCATTATAGTGCCCCACTACCCAGATGTTAACATGTACAGATGACAGATGGCATCCTGCTGCATGGCACAGTTCTACATTCATAATGTTGTATGTAGGTTGTATCTGGTTAAACTGGCTCTACAATAATCACTTAACATTGGAAAAGCTCAGCCAGCACACAGGCATGTAAACCTGCCAGGAGGACCAAAGGCTGGTTGTGCTAGCTCTGCCACCTTTAGCCACACTTGGCAATCCGACATCATTCACCTGCTTGTGTTGATCTTGTGTTCAGCCGTGTAAAAATCACATTTGTTTGACTGTTTTCTGACCCTCAGACTTCTGGGTTAGAGGGTGTTAAAAGTGCTAAAACAGCATCCCCTGATTAGGCTTGGGTATCAGGGACCAGCTCCAATTTAGACCAGTTCCAAGCTTCTGAATTCATGGATTTGATAAACTTTAGTGTAGGTTTTTTGATTCTAAACAGCAACATCAATCTCTAATGAGCAGTTCAATTCATAAAGAAAAATCCATGTCCTGGTTATTGGTATACCTGTTAGGGATGCACCGATGCAATCTTTTTATTATTCTTTGAATAATTTTTCTTTTACTACATGAAAATCGTACTTCTTTTTGCTGTTTGCTAACATGCAATTTGTTATTTGTTAATAAATAATATTAAGTAGATCTGTGTTCATTTATTGCCTTTTTTTTAAAAAGGCTAATGTCAAGCCTGATGCCTTCACTCACAGGGCAAGGTATACAGTTCATTCATTCAACAGTAGTATTGGAGTGGTATCAGCCAATACGCTCAGCCAAGGTATTGGTAAAAATGGATCGGTGCATCTCTAATACCTGTGAGAGCCTAAATATCCAAACAACAAAGGTAGACTTGTCATTTTTTAGTGAAATATTCCTTTTTTTTTTTTTACAAATCCAAACCAGAATTGATCAAACTGAACCCCTAATTCTACCTTTGATGGTAGGCTGAGTTTACAAGCCAATGAACGAGCCAACTGAGTGAATCCAAACTATTTAAACAGGACTAGTGATGCAAACTCTGTAGCTGCTCTCGCCTCTAGTGATGTAGCTCAATCAGGTATGCGTTTTGTATTAAAATGCAAATGAGGCCCCTTTTCAATATACCAACAGAATGGTTTAAGATTGATATCTCAGCTGCAGTCGTAATAAAACAGGAACATTTATTATGTCAACACATTTCAGACTCACTCAGGTGTGTTGATTTAACTGGCAGACACGGGTTCAGCACTGATAAGAGCTCTCTGCCACATCGAGATACTCTCATCTGGTTTCACAGCGACTTCACATGCGCAAATAAAACCCAAGGATTCAGTTTAGCTAGTTTGCTCTGCTTTTCTTAATTGTGGTTTTTATGTTACAATCACTACCAACATGCAGCATGTGACACCTACAGCAGCTTTACATCAGGATTCGCTGCAGAGTGAATAAACACTTATGCACTAACATGAATCATAAGCAGTACAGAGACATTGACGGTTAAAATCTCACAGTGGGAAATGAGGTGAGGAACATACTCACAGCATGTACTGTGTTTAGAAACGTCAATAAAAGCTGCGTTTCCGTACCCCATAATTACTCATCAGTTAAAAGGGTGTGGCGTTAACAATGGGTGCACGCTGAGGATGTCTGCACACAAAGTCCGCGGTGCTGGTTTGAATAAGATCAGACACATGGCGTACACATCTGAGGGGTACAATGGATGTAATTCCTATTCCCACTCTACACACTCTACTGTGAGTGCTATAACCCTCGGGCTACACACTTGCAATTAATGAGAGGAGGAAGAGATCTTGAGACAAATGATGATTAATTAATTTGGAGCAAGGTTCAATTAAGGAAAAGGGGCGTTCAAGTAACAATTCGAGGCTGTCAGACCACTGCATATGTGCTGCACGGATACAGAATGAATAAAAACACAATTAATTCTGAGATGAATTAATGGGATTCTCTGCTGCTTTTAATTCAGCTCAATTTGAAACTAATGAGTAAATCTGCAAAATGGCATAATTATCCCTCTTATTAAGTCATGGAGGTGTATAATACAGGGAAAACAGAGCAAGAATAAGAGGAGGCTAAACCGCGTCCTCCCTGGTGTCCTCAACGTAAAGGATGGAGACAAGGAGCGACAAGAGGCCAGAGAGGAGCACACACACACGCACGCACGCACACACACAGGTGCTCAACAGTCCTGCAAACAAGCAGATTCGAGGTAAGAAGAGAGATATCCTATTCAGACATAATGGAGACTTGGCTCACAACTTTACACACACACACTAACACACATCTGCAGTGTCAGTTTCAAGTTGGCCAATTTGTCTTGATGACAGTGGGAGGTTGGGGATTCCAGGGAGCGAGGTTTGTGTGTCAGCAGCCGTTATCGTCCGTTTACAGAGATTTGACAACACAGGGACGGTCCCTTAGACTCCCACGATATGACTACGATGACTAACTATAATTTTCTTTTGGCTAATGAGCATGGTTTGTTATTTTGTACCCAACTCTTGTTTGTAACTCATCTAAATCCTGAATAGCAGAAAAATCTGCTTCACTTAGAAGTTATTCACACAGTAGCCTGAGGGTAGCTCACAGCTAGCTTGTGCACCTGAATCTCAAAGTGCTGTAAATGCATGACTAATGTATCCAAAGCTTTATGTAATACGTTTGTCAAAAGTCTGTTGCTAGATATAAACACATGACAGGAGTATTTCTAAGACTTCTGTGTCTCAAGTGTCACAGTTTCTTAATATAATGTTGATACATCATCTGTGGTTCTTTATGCACTTTGGAGTACAGTGTTTTCAGTTTCACTTTGATAAGTTTTAACGAATTAGAGTTCCCTCTAAAGTGACTGTTAGTGAAATCATTGATTAACTAGACACGCGCTATATTTGGGAGTGGGATTTTTCTTGTGTGATCGGCACTCATTCGAAGGACTGATTCTTTACATGTCAAGAAAAAATGAAAAATCCTTCATTATAGAGATCCTAAATAAGGCCAGGATATTTCTTAATTAGGGGTGGGTATTGCCAAGGACCTCACGATACGATACGCATCACGATACTTGAGTCACGATACGATATGATATTGCGATATCCAAATGTTTGCGATATATTGCGATATATTGCGATATTCTACATAGTTCACTGAAAAATTTAAAAGGCATTATGCATCTTAAAATCCCAGTTGTATGTACATCAGATGATAGTGATAATTCATGGGACAAACAGTCAAAACAATGTAATTCAAATGATCGATGCCATTTTATTGTAAGTGCAAGTTACAACATATTTGCGTGAACAACACACTGTCTGAAACACATTGAAAAGTGCAGTGTGCATTATTCTTAGTCTCCCTGAGCACAATTATGACACAAACTGCAGTGTGGGTCAGTGTCCACATACTGAAACTGAATTGAAACCTCAGTGGATTATGTTTCTTCTGAATTTAGAGTAAATACTCAAAATAAAATGCAGTGTCTCACACACACTGAAATTGAAAATGCAAAATAAAGTGCAGCTTCTTGCCTTTGACCTTAAATGACAAAATTTAATTCACAGTTGTCTCCCTGGACAAGAACTGTGTCACTGTTTGAACACTTCACTGAATGTATGTAAAAAATAAAATATGCAATGTTGCTGCCAGTGTGGCTCTCGTACATGGCTCTCGTCTGCAACACGTGTTACCAGCTCCCATTCGGCATTAATGTGGTGCGCCGTTATTGTAATGTAGGACTCGGTGGCTCGTGATGTCCAACCGTCACAGGACAGTGCGACTCTCGGAGCAGAGCTAAGAACTGTTTTTATTGTCTCCTTCACCTCGTCATACATTTTTGGCACAGCTACGTTAGCCATGTACTTACGCTGCGGCATCACATAGCGCGGCTCCAAAGTATGAAGCATCCACCGAAAGCCGACGTTTTCCACAACGTTGTATGGTCGCAAATCTTTACAAAGAAAATGCACCATCGCCTCTGTGATCCCCCGGGCTCGGGTTGGAGTAGATGGGAGGACTTTGGCGATGTCCAGTGTAGTTTGCTTTGGATCGGAAGGTTTCGGTGGCTCCGGCTGAGCTAATATGTCGGGGTGGTGTCTTGCTAAATGAGTTCTCAAGTTTGTTGTGTTACCCGAATATCTAATGGGAGCGACACAGAGTTTGCAAAGCGCGTACTCTTTGTCCAGCTCATTGTGTGTTTCTCCTTTCCTTTGGAATCCAAAGTATCTCCAAACATCTGCCTTAAAGTTCGAGGGCGTTTCTAGTTTAACGTTACCAGCCATGCTTGATTGTTTTTTTCCCGGCTCCTCTTCCTCACTGCAACCGGCGGGGGAAAAAAGAGAAGAAGAAGTGAGGTAGCGGTACAGCGACACCTAGCGGAGCGGAGGTGCGGAAGTCGTACTGGATTTGTTAACCCGTCTGAAACCTGATTTATTATTTGAACAAAAAATCGATATTAATATTTTGAATATCGATATTGAATCGGAAGTCAAAGTATCGCGATATATCGCCATATCGATATTTTTGCCCACCCCTATTCTTAATAGTATAAATTTGTCTTTTTCCTCTCCTAATAAACTGTAATTATAATTATCAACCAACTCAAACTGAAATGGTACAGAACCCCTGTCAACTGTTCTGTTGCATCCTTATTTTTTAGCACATGAAAATATAATAGAAGACAGGTTGATTTGATGCCATTTTTAAGGGTCAAATTTGAAGAAAAGTGAAGGACCAAGGTGCTGGCATGCTGATAAGGTTTGAATCATAGAATGGACAGTCTGCCTCCTCGCTGGGTGAAGCCACTCCGAGAACAGCACCCTCTGTTGACAGGCTGCAGTATAGGTCATAAATCCTGCCTCCACCAGCAAAGCTTATGGAGCTGTTGACAAACTTTAGAAATTTATTACACAGAACATAATTTTTCTTCCCCCTGCTTGTGATGTTGACATGTAGCTACTGTCAGGCTGGTTTGGGCTCAAATCCTCTTTTTTCTGTGAAGCTCTGTTTTTAAAAGTTATTAGGGGGTTCATGTTTTCTATGATTGACACCTGATACCGCCTATTGGCATCCAGGGATTACGTAGCTCACCCGGGGGGATACGTTATTTGAGCCAAGCGTCATCACAGCGACTCTCGGTGACTCTCCCGCCGAATGCGCACATCGCTACTGCGCAACGCTGGTTTCAGGAAATGAAGAAAAATCGTGGAAATACTGAGAGCTTTTTGGCTTCAAATCTGTATACAGGCGGGAGGCGGAACCAAGTTGTCCATAATATATACAGTCTATGGTTTGAATATGCTGACAGGGCCCTTTAGTTCAGAAATGAAGCAGGGAATTCATTTTATTTCATAATTATTCTAACACCTATTTAACTAAGGGTGAGCCAATACACCCATTATTCGATGTATTATGATGCGACACATGACGATCTATTACGATAAACAAATGTTCAAAAATCAATCACTGGCCATGATAGTGAAATTACAGAAACACTACAGCAGCACCCAGAAGTTGGCTGCCCGGACAGTTTTAAGGAACAGACTCATAGCTGACTGTCTGTCAGATTTGTTAACTTTGTTTAATGGATTCTGGCAAATATACTTTTTTTAAAGGAAATCCTGTACGGGGGCAAAAGATGCATCAAAAATCATAATATTCATCAAATAATCGAATCGTAGCCTCCTAAATTGTACGATGGCACACCCTTATACGCCTCCTTATCCCCTGTTCTTTATGTAAACATAAAGATCTACATATGCGCCCCAGTGCTGAAGCAGTCATAGCTAACAAAGGCTTCAGAAATCTGGTTATCAAGGGTATTTATTTTTTCATTGAATCATCACCATCCTCGTCATGCAGGCAAAATGAATGAAAACAGTGTCTCCGTTGGAAGTGCACGCTCCAGAGTGAGTCCTGTGCAGCTCTGTGATGACCGGAGGAGCCCACTTGAACTGCCACAGTCAAACTTAGCTCTGTTACCGAGTCCCCTCTCTCCCTGGCATCAGCTTTGTGCAGTAACAGAGTTTGTGATCTGTGCCGGTTACACAGGGACGTGAAGCTGGACTGGAATGTGTTGCCATGCCTCGCACCCTGACCGTGTCAGACTTTCATTGCTCCTATTACATAAGTCTGTCTGCCTGTGTTATAAAGTTTCTGTACACTCTGAAAATACCCAGCAGCTTGTTGTGTAACAGATAAAGGCCCACTGTTGTGATCCCGAAATTGATGTTAACCACAGTGTGACCTCTATCAATGTAACAAACAGAAGCCTTGGGAGGATGAAGTGCACACACTAGTGCCGTGTCTTGGAGAGAACAGAGGAAGATTTATCTTAGCGCCCGTTGTTCAACACATGGATAACAAAAATATAACCAGAGTCACATTGGAGCTGCAGTTTCTGTTTTTTTTTCCTCTGTAAATAGCTTGAATAAACAGACAGTATTCTGGAGTTGGGACTGTGATTGCTCTTGTTATGATCAACGTAAACATCGACTGATACCAAGTATTGTTGATCGGCCACTTTTATTCATTTAAGTCCTTAAAGGCTGGGAAAATCCTTCTGATCCATCAAATTAGTCGAATTCATAGATCAGACTTGAAAGGTGAAAGGTTTACATGATTACAACACTGAAGACACATTCATAACTTTGGTAAAGAGGCTGCTGCCGTGTGATCAGTACTATTTAGAAGTGTTTTACTTTGCTTATTAGTAGGGTTATGACTAGCAACTAAAATGCAGAATGAGCATCTGATTCAATCTGCTGCTATCAAAGAAACAATATCATGGAGGGCAAAAAAGGCACAAATTGGTGTTTGTATATTGAGGACTATTCTGGGATAATCTGTCTGAGAAAGTAGAGAAATCAGGGCTGAAGATCACGACCTGGTACTTGTCCTGAAAAGTTTGAGACCCAGCTCACAGTGAACGACTCAGCACTTGGTGGTTTGGCATTTCAGATGTTGATGACAACAGCATTGATGATTATGATAATTTTGAGGTTTCATGATGATGATTATTTGCTCAATGATGATATTAACAACCTGCTTATGACCACCCCTGTGCATCGCCTCTAGCACTGTAAGGCCTTGAAACAGTCTGTGGCACTTAGTCGAGTTGTTTTCTCCTCTCTAGATCGTTGCTTGTCAAATTGTAACATCAACTTAGTCGCAATCTGGCTCGATACAAGACACTGGGTCTGAATGGAGTTGGAAAGACGGAGAAGCACAAAGCGAGGAAAGAGAACGAGGCAGAGAGAGTCTGATTGTTCCTCATCACTGAGTTGTCATTCAAGGCAGTCTCCTCTGTGGCTCAATAGAGAGTGATCAATAATTGCCTGAGGCTTCATCTAACGCTGGGCTGCACCCGAGTACAGTGGGAACAGGCTGGGCCTTTCAAACATGACTGAGTACATTGTACACACATTAAAGGGCCGGCTCCTGAACATTGCTGCTGCTGCTGACTGCACTGCTTTGTTGACAAATTTGGTTTCTTGTGTTTAGGTTCCATGAGGAAGATTCCCAGGTAGCTAAACATGAGTGATAACCATCAAGAAGGCTGGAGGAGAGACACACAAGGGGGGCTGAATCTGTCTCCAGCCTACACACTATGACCAATGTGAGCCCAGATCAGCTGGAGTGAGACAAAGATGCCCGGCTCCGTGGAGAGGCTTGAGGACGCACCATTTGATCCGGCTTCAGCTTTTTATGTCTCCATTTACGCACAAATCCAATAGAAAACGCGTAAATATGATAAAACTAAGGAAAAGACCCTTCCCTGGGCTATGACCTCACTTCCTTTGACATCACTAGCTTGGCGGGGGGATGGGCAGAGAGAGCAGCTAGCTAGTAAAACCAGATTTTTATGTAGCTCTCGAGTCTCACAGTTGCGCGCATGAGCCTTCACGTCTAACCAAACCCCTGCTGCCTTTCAGACCAAACCGAGCTTTACCCGGAGCACACAGACACGAAGATGTTATCTCAAAAGGCCTGAATGCTGACTAACCAGTGGAGGGGAACAGGAGCACAGCAGCACAGCTCTCTCTCTCTCTCTCTCTGTTCAATCCCTCAGGACAATACAGGAAGAATAACTCGTCCGTACGTACCTCTGAAGTGCATTAGAGCCACCGGCTGAAACGGCCCGTTTGAGTTCGGTGCATCAACAACCATCCTGTCTCCAGATTTATTGCATGTCAACATCTAAACCTCAACCAGGAAGGCGATCCACTCAGGGCGAGAGGCCAGCCTCCATTTTAGCACAAAAGCAGATCAGAAAATGAAGCTCTCTGCTGCTGGAGGGAACTGGCTAGTTAGTGATGTAAGCAGTGAGGGAGGCAGCTGATTGGCGGAGAAGCGAAGGCTCCGGAGCAATCAGGGCGAAAAGCTGCCAGGAGAGAGGGAAGCTGATTGGCTGAGGGGGTGAAAGTGGGCGGGATAAGCTTTGGAATTTTTCTTTTTTATGGTCAGGCTCCTCCTCCTCCTGCTCACTCACTCACTGGATCTGTGGTGAAGGCAGGCCTTGTTACAGATCTCAGATCAGATTGACTTAAGTCTCCTCTCCAGTTTAAACATTAGCAGGGGTTATAGAATAATCTGACTGAGGATAAGCAGCTGGAAATAACTTACTGAGTGTGCTAGAGAGAGACAGAGGCCCTGGCTGAATCTTCAAAGACTTTCATTGTTTCCTTCTGTCATCTCTGCTCAGTCTTTATCAAAGGAAGAAGAAGGAGAGGTTAGAGAGGGCCCAAAAATCCTCACATTCAATGAGGAACAGAAGGAGACATGAAGAAACCACATGAGACGGCTGAGGAAGGGACTAATGTGGACTCAAACTTCAGAGCGCCCCATAAAATTTAAATCAAAGTTGCTGTGCAGAAAAGTGTAGTGTGATTATTCTCTTTGCAAGATTAAAACTATAAACATATGGTGCAGTGTCACTCTAGATAAGAAAATCTAACATTAAATGAAACATGATTGTTCCAGTCCACAGACAGTATTAACCATAGACTGTATATACTATGGACAACTTGGTTCCGCCTTCCGCCAGTATACGGATTTGAAGCCAAAAATCTCTCAGTATCTCTGCGATATTTCTTCATTTCCTGAAACCAACATTATATTGCACAGTAGCGTTGTACACACTCCACCACTTGCGCAGTAACATTGTTTGCATTCGGCGGGAGAGTTGCTGTGATGACACTCGGCTCAAACAGCGTATCCCCCGGGTGAGCTACGCAATCTTCTTATACCCATAGGCTGTATCAGGTGTCAATCATAGCAAACATGAACCCCCTAATAACTTTAAAAAAACGGAGCTCCACAGAAAAACAGAGGACTTGAGCACAAACCAGTCTGACAGTAACTACATGTCAACATCGCAAGCAGGGGTAAGAAAAATGAATATTCTGTGTAATAAATTTCTAAAGTTTGAGGCGGGATTTATGATCTTTACTGCAGCCCGTCAACAGAGGGTGCTGTTCTCGGAGTGGCTTCAACCAGCAAGGAGGCAGACGGCGTCCATTATATATACAGTCTATGGTATTAACAGACATACATAAGATTTTACAGTTTTACTCACCAAAAAAACAAGTTAAGCCACAATTTATTGACGACTTTGCACAACAATTTTTTTTTCCTTTTAGAATAGCGTGGAGGCGCTCAACAAAATTAACTGCAATCAGGAAACGAAAGTGAGAGGACAAAAAATTAAAATGCATAGGCCGCCAGGGAAACGTCACTCATACCGATATTTTCTGGTCATTTGTAACCTTTCTGAGAAAAAGTGAACGAGACTCTGGGAAAAATCCTGCACTATAGTATTCAAAGAGATCCCAAATTCATGTATTTGGGAGCCATACCTGAGAAAGTAATAGAACAAGGAGGCGTTTGTTTATTTATTCAAGGTCTTGATTATTGCATGCAAAAAGGCTATCATAGGGAACTGGATGAAAACTGATCGCCCGCTACTGTGACAGTGGATGGATATTATTGGCGAAATTTATACCATGGAAAGTCTAACTTACCGTTTGAGGCTGGACATGTCTACCTTTCATCAAAAATGGAGGAAATGGACAGCGTTTAAGGAGCTTGAAGCTTATAAACAGGCTATATGGACCTCTTTGTTAACCACTTGCAAAATAAGGAGTAAGAACTGCCCCCTGTGTTCCTTTGTTCCCTTTTTTTTTTACTCTATCTTTATTTTTAAGAAAAAGGGAAAAATGGTTGTAAAGAAATAATTGTCTCGAACCATGCTATACTGAAAAATAAGGTTTAAAAAGATTTTTTAAATGCACAAGCCAATAACACAGGACTCAGCTGCAGCTCCAGCAGTATTCTGGAGATTTCCTGAAAGTTTATCTAGTTATTTCATAATCTGTGTAGAATACTAATACTCTAAATATTCAGCTGCATGATTTGTTTATTTTTACTGATGCTATTATAAGTAATTATTCCCAAAATTTATTCACCAGAATAAGCCCAACTCCATGGAGGCAATTGCATAATCTCCATGTTATCTTTGCATAATGAAGCAGCTTTCTTGTGTTTCATGTGAGTCTTCAGAGGGCGCTCAAAGTGAAACCACATCTGCAATACAAGAGCAACCAGGGTTTCATGACAGCGGGGTCTAACACTGTTTTTGGACTCATTTCACAGTCGTTTAATAACAAAGGGAGTGTGCTGTTTCCCAGCAATCATCCACGTCAGACAATTTCTCAACAACTTATCAAAACCTCCATGAAAACGCCAAATCTTGGTTCAATTACTGACAGCCATGCATTAAAAACACACACAATACAGTGTGAATATTAATAATTTGGCTGAGTAAAAATTCACCTTTATAAGTGTAATGAAAACCTCTCACTAAATCCTCCTTTCTGTATGTCTCTTTTCTCTATCCTGCTTTAAAAATGAACACAGACATTGAGGAGTTGAAGTTATTTCCTCACAACACAGAGAGAGGAATGAACATATAATCCAACAGAGGGAACGGGAAAGGACAAGACAAGAGGAGATGAAGGCCAAGTGTATCAGTAGGCAGTTCTCACTCCTCTCACTGAGGGGCCAAAGCCTCTCTGAGAGGTGCCATTACATTCCAACACCATGACAACGGGCGGCGGTATTTTCTGAAAGCTGCCACTTACTTCCTACTGGTTGGACTGGCTCGGTAGGAAACTGGCGGGGTTTCGAATGACCCCAGGACACCTTGAGAGATTTTTGTGGCAAACCTTTTTTTTTTCTAACCGTCCAAATATCCCATTTGAAGAACAAAAACAACATTGCAGGTTCCATAGATGTGTGGAGCCTTGTTGTGTCAAGAAAATGAATTAATGAGAAAATATGCACAGAGGAATATGTGTCTTCGTTAACATGAACACATGCAGGGTTATTTTTTTAATCATGATTACACACAGCACTATGTTAATATACACAAATGCACAAGCTGTGTGACATTCTGCAGTTTAAATTGATCAAAAAATTTGCAGCGTTTACTTTTTTTTAGCAAAATTTTGGCTCACAGCCTTTTTTTTAAGATAAATTATCCTTACCCATGTTTATCATGCATTTTTACAAATTGATATCAATATATGTCGCAGCTGAGCATCAAAACTAAGAAGACAAAATAAGATGGTCAGAAAGAAGTGTTGAACTACAACACTTTGGTTTTACTCTAGTTAATACAGAGAAATATACAGAGAATAATACAGCCAGTATTGTTCTTATCATGGACTATTATTTGGCCAAAGTCTGTCTTTCATAAATAAAAAAGACTCAACACTTTGTTACAGTGTGCTGAAAATTCCTGTTACAAAGCCTCATGAAATGGCATTTTAATCTTTGACCAGAGGAGGGCAGCACAGTCCGATTCAGTATCATCATCTGTAACACAAACCAATCACTAAATGTTTTACAAACACCTGGAACAACAGGCTGTTTATCCTTCCTCATCAAACATGCACTGCTGACCTGCTACAAGCTTCTGTCCCCAAAGCAAAAAAGACCCGATCAGCTGAGGTTGAAAACATGGAAACACTCGTCCAAAATCAAGATGTTGAGTTTCAGTGTGTTGCTATCATGCAGATATTTGTGGACTCACTCATACATGCTCACACTTACACACAAACACACAGAGAGACAGAGTACAAAAAGAGCCTGTGGCATTAAATGTCTGTATAAAACTGGAGAGCTCCTTGAGCTACAAACAAAAGTGCATCTCTTTTGTCTTTTATCCATGCCCTGATTCTGAGTCAGGCAGTTGTAATATACTAGTAGTCCTTATATTTTAAGATATTAAAAAAACTTCAGAGGCAGGGTTTTATACAATTCATACACAAGCTTCAAGATACAGGGTGCAAACTGTTCTATGAGGGAAGAAGGAAAGCATTTTTGCATCAGCTCAAGAGATTATCTCAAATCTTAATTACAAAAACCCAACAAGGAAAACTGATTTTGATCCAAAGAATAATCAATGAATCATTTAAAAGTGAGAATGAATCATCAATAAATTACGCAATGGACTTGAGACAACACCACAACAGTGGGAACGCTGAATGAGACACATTTGCCTTTTTTTAATTTCACAAACATTCTTTTAAGTTAACAAACTACTTTTTCTGAGTCACCAGTCCTGCGCTGACTAAGGTGCAAAAATCTACTGTCCAATAAAATTTGACAAAAAACTGCGGTTAATTCCTTTTTTTCTTTCTTTCATAGAGTCAGATGTGATGTGTTCAAATGCATTTGTCCACAAACAGTGCAGAGTGTCACTGAAGTCGACTAAAGGTTCTTCCTCCCTCTACCTCATCTTTCCAAAACTCATGACGGTGATGATGATGCTCTCCGATGAAAACCAACATGAATCATTAATAATTTAATTATCGGTCACGCCTAGTTGTCTCCTTCAAACTTGCAAATCCTCTGACCTGTGCACCTCTATTGTGTCATCCGGCTCACCCAGCGATGAGAACAAAACATAGCCAGGTATTGTTTACAGGAAACCACTTAGAGCAGATCCTGCCTGTAATACTGCGTGTAAACAAAGACACCATGAAAGATTGATGTAAATGTTCAAACCTCAACATCGCTGTCTCGTCACAGAATCTCCATCAATGAGGTGCGTGCTAATACAGTCCATCAGAGAGCTGACTGAAACTCTGGCAGAGGGAGCAGCTAGCTTGACACAGTTGTTATGATTCCTTTAAGAGACTCAATTTCTTGTACTGATATAATTTTTTAATCATTTTTAGATGCTATTGCTCCTAAATTATGTAAGATTTTACAATGAATGCTTGTTTTGGATCCATGTTTGGTCATCTGCCAGACATAAGTGAGTCCTGAAAGAGTAATATCTGTTTCTCTCAGGTCCGGCTGCAGAGATGCTGCTGATTGCACATCATTTGCATCACAGATAAAGCTGACGGGGCAGTCTGCTTCGCTATAAATTATGTAGTGGGCAAAGACCTCAAGGTTAAAAAGGCGGTTATAAGGATCCACCGAGGCTATGAATTGTTAATATGATTCCCTGCGTCCATACAAGCCAAACATGCAAACTTAGATTAAGGTCATGAGGTATTTTCCAGAAAAGAAAAATATATTCATAGAAAGAGATGAAGAGTTGCATGTGTAAAAAGCACAAAAATAGCTTCTTGTGGAGAAATGACTCTTGGGGAAGTGTACCTGACAGCGCAGATAGCTTGTGTAGTTCTCTGTTAGCACTGAGGGGGAAAGAGGAAGTGCTAAACCTCTTCTCCCTCTTCACGGCTGAGTGTGACCCCGGCTGCTTCACCCTCATCAGGTGAGTCGCAGGAGGCACTTTCTTATTGGAGCCCTGCGGAAACAAGAGTCACAGAGGCAGAGCTCCTGTTACGAAAGACAGGTAGGGCTAGGTAGGAAATAGTGCATGAATCACTCTACTGAAGGGATCTCAATAGAGAAGAGGAAGATAGAGGGGGGAGGAGAGGGGGTGAAGGTGTTGTGGTTAAGGGTCAAGTTCCCTTTCCGAATCAGATCGGGTGATTCTCACTGAAGCAACCCGATCACAGTCAGCGGTGTACTGTACTGCGCCTGCTGACAGAGTTTGGGATGGACTTGGCTGCACAGAATAATTGAGCACAGATGGAGCTGATAAAACTGTCAATAAGAACAAACAGCGGGTCCAGCAGTCAATCAATCAGGTCTCTTCCAATCTCAGCATGCGATACACCCCATCACTGATGTACGTCAGAAATAATGAGGATAAAAATAGACCGGCTACAATGGATCTTCTGATACTCAGAGGCCAAACAAGGCATGATGGGAGAGCTGGGGGTTGAATACATGTCCAGAGACAGTCATAAGCTCATGACGTGATGACACATGAGTTACTCTGACTTCTTTACATCAGGGGGGAAAAAAAAGAGTTGGTATTAAGTTTTGAAGGAGCCTATAAACAGAAAGTCCCTAGAGGCATACAAGAAGCAAATTTCAGATGTGAATCAAAGAGATAATAAAAGCAAATTTATCAACAATACTAGTATATGTGCATGTGACATCTTTCATGAGATAACAACACAGTGCGGTTTATTAGAAGAATAACTTTCAGCGAGAGGTTGATAAAAGTTTCTGGCACAGAAAACCTCTGCACCCAAAGCCGTAAATAAATAAATAAATATTTTCAAAAGACCAAAAGCTAATCTGTCAACAATACTTGTGTATGTGCATGTGACATCTTTCATGAGATAACAATACAGTGTGGTTTAGTAGAAGAATAACCTTTTAAGCAAGAGGTTGATAAAAGTTTCTAGCAGAGAAAACCTCTTGCATTCAAAGCCTTAAATAAATAAATTAATAAATGACCAAAGAGATTTTGATTTATAAAATGTGCAACAGTGTTGTACTAGTTTGGGTTATCTAATACATGCTAACAATGTCTTTGCAGAGCAGGATAATTTTTTTAGCATTTTAAAGTACTTAGTGAAAACTTCTCAGAGAAAAGTCAAAGAAATAGCACTCACATCTTGGTCCTCTGCAGGCCCGTTTTTGCTCCCAGACTTTTTAGACCTTCCTGATTTAGAGGATTCCTAAAAATGGACGCCAAAAAAAACAAATTAAATTCAACTTAAACTGAGCAAACCTCAAACTGTGTTTCCTTTAAACAAAAAAATCCACGGTACCTTTTCTTTTCTGCTCTTGTGAGGCATCCTGAAACGGGGGTCCCCCTGAGTCAGCAGGTCGCGGTGAAGCTGTGGTCACACACTGACAGCAGACTCCTGGTTTCCACTCTGTGTTGAACACCCTGATGTGGCTTTAACGACTGACCATCCAAACACCATGTGACTGACTCAGAGTCCCAACAACATGTCATCCTACTTCCGCAACGGTAACAAACCACAACCCAAGCGCAGTCACTGAGACAGAGCTCATGGTGAAAGAAAATAGTGTTTATTCCCTCTGTGGACGTCTAACTTACTGCTGCTTAGGCTGCACTTTCAGGTTACCCGCTGGATCCTGCAGCCTGAGTGAGGGATATGTGTTTTCTGCAGGTTGTGATGGCTTCTGTTGGCCACACGAGGGCGACATTGTACCCTAGAAGGAGGAGGTGTCTGAGGGGTCGACTTCAGTCTCATTTGAAACTGGAGAAACCCTGTCAAGTCACCGGGGTCATGGAGTCCTCTGCCCTACTGACCGGTGGTGTGTACTCAGGTTGTTTGAGGGAACGTGGCCCTGTAACATTGCATGTCAACTAAAATAGACTTTATTAAAAAACAATATAAAACAATTCTCTGAACCGACCCTTAACATAGTGGGTGTGTAGTAAAAGCTAACACAGGAAGGTTAATATATTCATACACACTTGCATTATCAAGTTGTTACTCAAAGACATAACTTTGAAATGAACACAACAAAAGTAAAGTATCTCAAGCATACTTGCAGAGCCGACTCAAACCTCAATGTGGACCAAGCAAAATTTGATTTATTTCTGCCATTACTATTGATTGTTGATCATTCACACACCTACTACAGTATACATTTAATGTGCCTATCATGTCTTTATACATTTAAGGGAGTGGCATAGGTAATAACATAAATAATACCAATGCAACCATACAAATAATACCAATGACTGACTGATGAATGATGTTCAGGGTGCCACATATGGTTTTTATTCTCAAAATTTAACACATTGAGCTACAAGAGCGGCCTGAGGTTGATTTTGACATTTCAAGTGATAAAACATTGTGTTTACTGTCAAAGTCTCATCAGCAGTAAGAATCATAGGCCTACATCAGCAGCAGCACTAAAATGTTTACTTTATATGTTTACTGTACTCTCTTATTTTTACAACAATATATATTTGATCATACAAAAAGCATAAAAATTTTTTATTTATTTATTTTTTATTGCTCTTGGGGGCCCCTACTGGCTGCAGGGCCCTAAGCAGGAGCTTAGTTCACTTATACCTTGGGCCGGCTCTGCATACTTGATTGTTGGGAAAGACGATACAAAGAAATTGGATATCTGTGTGGACACAACTTTGACTCATACCAAGGTCAAATTACAGGAACGTGAAGAACTTTGTGGATAACATAATTATATCCAAACTTAACAAGAGCACCACAGACAACCTATCTTGATTACTTCTTAATGAAACATGGATATTGTTTTGTTTCATGTGTGAAATATGAATATGATTTTTTTTTTCTGGTTTGAACTCTGACAGGTTTTTCTCCACCTGTTATGATGAAATCCTGGATATGAAACCTGACCTCTTGTGTTAGGCTGTTTGATTAAAAAACAAGCCAGTCCATGATTACAGAAAGGTGGGATGTTGAGGTCTCCCCCTTGTCTCTTTATGTAATAAGTAATTCAGTCCATTTGGTGGCAGTGTTGTATTCTTTTAAATGTTGTTTCTGGCGTTTTTAATGGCCTTCATTTACCTAAAAACAACTACACAAAAGGGACTCATTTAGTGTTGCATTGGGGTTTAGAGTTTATTAGAAAGTCTTTAATGTGAGATTAATGTATGAGACTAAAACATGTTTCAGGACAGAGATTGTCTTTTTAGTAGATTCTGGGATATTTGAAAACGCCCACACGATCCTTTAATTCTTATGAACTTTATCATTCTTTCTTTCTTTCTTTAATTTCCTCACCTCTACCTGCTGCAGAGCCACATATCAAAGCGTCATGTAATCCCAGAAGTACACACCTTTTTTTCACTGTCCATTTGACTCAGGACATCTCCAGGCTTTAGAGAACACACCCGTGTAAGAGGACTGATTGGAGAAGAAAGTAGATATTGACATGAGCAATGAATGCATGTGTGGGCTACAAACAGAGTAGGATTGTTCTTCTTTTCTGGCTGTGGATGCAGTACACTGGTGTGTATTGATCAGGCTGTGAGAGCGTTGTGTTCTCTGAATCATTGTGTTTCCATCTCTCCCTCGATCCAGAGCCAGAGCCTCATCATCAACATGGTGTTATTACAAAGAGATACGGCTGCCTTCATTTCCTGTCTCTGCAATGCAACAGCATGGAGGGGGGGGTGGTTTGTGTGTGTGTGTGTGAGTGTGTGATTGGATGGATGGATGCCTTAGTGTAAGATGGATCAGCGTGTACTTTCTCCACAAAGAAATGCATTACATGAGAGTTTCTGAGGTTGCCCGTGTGATAAAGACCATCAGTGGTAGTGATGTGAGTTAGGATTTATGATTCTACCATATGAAACTGAATATCACACATAAAACTTTATCAACCTTAAGCTGGGATCATTTTCCATCTTAAATTTAACAAAACTTTCCTCCCCAAGCTTTAATTTTCTCATGCTTTTGTCTCTTTTCCTCACGATAACCATGTTTAAATTCTTCCACCTTTGCTACAACAACTGGACTTATTTTAAACCGGCGCTGTTCAGCCCAGTCAGTGGAGTGAGAGTTGCCATAACACCGGCTCGTTTTATGAGAAAGCTGTCGAGCCAATGGGGCTAATGAGGTGGTCTGCGCAACAGAAGCTTGTTTACTTTTCCAGAGAAGAGAAAGGGAAACGGGTGACGAGAGAAAGAGACAGGCGGCTCGTTGTGATTGAGGGAGAGAACAAAGGAGAGGCAGAAAGAGTGAGCGAGGGATAGATGGTTCGGTTGACTGTAATCACTGTGTTGCATCACAGGTGCATGATCCCTAATGATAACACATAAATGTGTATTGATTGTGACACAACTACTTACACGCAAGTCTGACTTTGTGTGCCTGTGCGCTCTGTTTTTGTACTATGTGCTTGTCTGCTTGCTTTTATTTTGGAAGTGGGGCTTTTATCAGATTGATTTATGTGCTGTTTTCATCTGATAGAAAGTTTCTGACTTTGGATTTGATTAAGTCCCACACAGATCTGAAGCCTCAGAGAAAGAAGAAGAAACATGAATATCAATATAAATGACCGGACTTATAAAATAACTGAATGAATAGATATATTTTGGTATTCATTTGTGGTAAAAATGTTATATAACTTTATTCTGGCCTTTTTTATTGATTTTTTTCACAGTTTTAAAGTCTTTCACAGTCTTTTCTCCTTTTTCATTAGTTTAAGCCATGACAACATCAGACATTTGTTTTTGACATATTTGAATTAAATGTATTAATCTTAAATATAAAAAATATACTTTTCTGTGTTCTTACTTTGCCAGGATGTTGCCATTTCTAACCCAGGCCTTGAAGCATGGGCTTCTTTATTGCCACTTTGACTCATGGGGCCTGTGTCCACTACACTTTCGCACTTCTCGACTTCAATTTAGGAGCACCCCTCATCGGCACTTATTGTTGCAAGGTTTATCCTTGGTACCTGTTAATTTTAATAAGCTCCATCCAGCCTACTTTGACCGCAAAATGGACATAGTGTGAACCGAGAGTTAAGACAGTTGTCTCCGGTATCGTGCGTGAACATGGGAAATTGAAAGTGATGATTGAACACGCTCATTTTTGGTGAAGAGTGAACTGAGCAGCTAATTTTGTAATTGATGAATGAGACATGAGCGTAGTCTTAGAGTCAAAAATAGAGATGATTAGGTTTAGGTGAGATACATGTGCTTTACAATCAGAGCAAGCTTAGCCCTCTTGTCAAACATCTCATGACTTATCCCAGAAGAATTCAAGAAAGATGTCAAAAGTGACATCAATGGAAGTTTTCTGGAAGTACTTTATTCTTGAAAACTTGGGCTGAAGACGTAATTTAGAATTATTTAGCTTCAGACTTGAGTGAAAGGAAAAACCATCCCTCTTACACCAGCATGCCCTGTAAGCTTGTTAGCCAACTCATTAGCAGTCTTGGTAGTTGACACAGTCTTGTTTAACATGATGAAGGACTCCCACTCTGTGCGCGGAGATCACATCCTGCTGCCCTCACCTTGACCCTGCGCATGATTTGTTTGATGGGTTTGGAAGAACATCACGCGCCGTCTGCTCCGGGAACATCGTCCTCTGGGATTCAACCTTCCACTTTCTCCTGGATGACCTTTAACTCCTGTGGCCTGCAGCTACTTTGTACAACCACCTTCCCTTCATGCCAGCTCGACTGTACCTCACAGCCTGCAGCTCTCTCTGCACCAGCTTCAACCTCTTGTCTTATCCCCCGGGTGTTTGGACGCTCCCCAGACAGCTCTTTTCTTGGTCTTACTCTGTGCATTTGTGCTTCAGCTTGAATTCCTTTTTCTGGGGGACATGTTCTGCTTTCAGACTCTTTTTTCTAACTCTGCTGGACATAATTTAGGTTACCTGTGCTTTAAAGATATCTATTGTCAGAATTGAAATCTTTAGAGTTATTTCAAAACCCTTAAAACACACAAAAATCAACGGTTCAAACAGCCAACAAATCAATTTTAAAAATCAATTTTATTTGACGTTCAAGGGGTAGTTTACTCGACACTTTTATCCTTTTCATCTCAGACAGATCTCCAATGAGATCCTCCGAGCTGTACAGCGTTATCTCTCCACTGCCCTCCACATTACATTGGTGTTAATGCCAGACAAGTCACTCCTAATCCAGAACTTCATTAAGAACAATTACGCCATCCGTTCAGCTCTGATGAGACATAATGACTATTGACTGGCTGACTTGTTACACTTTGTTTCAGCCATGACAGTTAAAGGCCTGTGTGAAGGTGTCAGATGGTGACTTGTTGGGGGACTAAAAGTGGGCTTTTAGACCTCATAAATGAGTGGTTTATCTATCTCATAAGGCCCTTAGCTTTTATAGTGTTTTAGCCGGAAAGACCACAATCAAACAAAGTAGGAAATCTAAGTCATGCAAACACACACATTAAAAAGATTTTAACTGTGTTTTCGTAAAAGCTTGGAGTAATGTTGCATAAACACAGAACAACGTGATGAAAGAAAATAAACCTATAAATTTTAAACCTTTGGGATGAAGCTGCATTCAGCTCACAGCTGGAATTGTAATGAAGATGTGATTTTTCTGAAAATATTTCTATA